AACTGGTAGGTCAAAGAGTCATAGAAACATTAGATAGTTTTGTTAAAAATAATGAAAACAAAGAGATAGCACAGCAAAATTTATGTAATGTAGCCAAAGCAAACCTTAGGGAAAATTTTATCACCAAACATTTTCAACAACAAAAGAAAGAAAGAACGTATCAATGAATTGGGCATGCAACAACAACAACAAAAAAAACCAAAAACCCAAACTCCCGAAGCCTAGAAAACCAACTAATTAAAAGCTCTGATTAAACATCGAAATAAAACGTTCTAAAAATCAAGATATAATCAAAAATGTATTTGGAGTCTGAAGCTCAGGGTTTAGATTCAGGGGGTCTGCACTTGAATACTGGCTTTCCTGTTTATTCACATTTTGGCCTGGGAAAATTCACGTATGTTCCAGACAAACTTTTCTACTGGTTTTCAGAGCTCATTAGTCCATTTCCTGCCTTCATGCCTTTGCATGAGCTATTTTCTGTGCATATATGGTATATAGATGATCAGGAGAACTGTCCAGTTTGATGAGTTTCCCCGATCCACTAGAAGAGATTATAGAATGGGAACTTTTGTTCACCTACCGTGGAGCTAGACATGCACCTTAGCCCCAATGAACTCCTGATTGGTAGCCAGTGACTGAACTGATGGTTGTAACTGAGAGTCTTGGTAAAGGAATCTCCATCTCTGTTGTCTATAGCAGTAAGAAAGGAGAAATTGCTTGTACTTTGACTCTCTTTGGGATCAGCACTCTCTAGAATCAAACTTGGGTCCATGTGAGTCAAAGTTTCTTGCTGAGACACCCTCCCTTCCTCCACCCCAGGCTATGAAGTATGTCTTAGGGACTTGTCTTTCATTTAAAGGATTGATTTCTAATAAATACCAAGTGCTTACTTTCTTTTTGGGAGCCCCATACATATTTTAGGTGTATCTAAGTGTTCAATTTCTTCTTCTGATAGAAGTATTTTTAAAAGGCTTAAGTGGGAATTCAACCAAAGGACAGTTTACCCAGAGTATTCTTTATCTTGGAATCAGGTGCTTTGAACTGATATGTAAGTTTAATTGAGTAACTGCCTGCAAGGCAGGAAGATGAGATGGGCTCAGCACCATAGAGATGAACAGAGGCCCTGGAGCAGCAAGAGAGCTCCTGATCTATGCAGTTCATGGGACAGTCAGAGACAGCTTTCTCAAAGGGGAAGAGGTGGGGGTAGGCCCGAGAGGAAGGTTGGAGAGAAGTGGAAGGGAGGTTCTGAGTTCAGATTGTATAGTCCTTGCTTCTTTTCTAATGCTGTGATCAAAAGTGGGATTGTGAAGTAATGGGTTTTCTCATGACTTGAGTCATTCAAGTAGATGCTGAGTGACCATTCGTTAGAAATATTATAGAAAGAATTTTTTCCCATTGGATTTGGTGAGTTCTGAGGTCTCTTTCAATTCTGATGCTTCATTCTCTTGGTTCTTTTTCAGCTGTTCAGTCTTTTTGTTAAATTATCATCCATTTCTCCCTTAACTGAATATTCTCCAAAGCTGTGTCTTTGGTCCTCTTCTGTTTTCTCTCCACATACCATTGTTTTGAACTTATCAGTTCTCATGAGTTCGATTAATATCTCTGGATAACTCTCAGTTCAGTATATCCAGTCTTAGGCTTGTCTCCCGAATGTCACCAACTATCTTTTAGACATTTTCCACTGAATGTCCCATAGCAATCTCAAATTGAGTGGGTTCAGAACAGAATGTAATATCTTTTCTCTAACATGATCTCACTACGTTGAAGGAAGCCACCTTTTTTTAGTTAACCCCGCTTACAACCTTGACTCATCATTCTCCTTGGCCCTGATCAGTTGCCAAATCTAGTTGATAACATCTCTTGCTTAGGTCTCCTTTTCTCCATTCACACCTAGGTTATTGCAATTGCCTAATTGATCTCTTACACCTCTATGTCTCCCCTCTCTAATACATCTATAATCTGACTTCCAAAGTGGAATCCATAAAGCACACCTCTGGTGAAGTCACTTTCTTAAGTTCCTTTGGCTCCCATCTATAACCTTGGGTAAAAAAAATCCTCTGACATTTCAGGCCTTTCGCAGTCTACTTTTACTCTGTTTTTCCATGCTAATAAGCTATTTTCTCTCCTGCATCACATGTTCCAATTAAGCTACTATGCATAGTTTTATTCCAACAAAACAGTATTGAGTTAAAAAGACACTTCTTTCTTTTAATTTGTTGGCCTTCTAAGAACTGATATTTTCAACAGATCAAGTTAAAAATTTTTTAGGTGCTTTACTTTCAGTAAAATTATTCTTTGAGCATGTCATGTTCATTAGCATATATAAAAACTTGTATCATTATTATATTCTGTCTACATATTTTTTATCTTTTTCAGAAGAATTACATGTTGTCTGCTCCCACAGACACTGCTACTTTTGTTTCTTGTTTCATTCTATCCCACCAAATAAATATATTTCAGCATTCTCAGGCTAGTAGGCATAAGGAATAAAGAACTGGCCTGCAGCCAGGAAGACCTGGCTTAAAGTGCCACTTCTGTATTAGATATTACATCATTAGATAGATGCATGATTCTGGGCAAATTAAGCTCTTAATCTCTAGTTCAGAGGTCTCAAACATGTGGTTCATGGGCCCCATGTGTCCCATAGCACTCTTGAGTTCAGCCCAAATTAGATTAAAATTTAATTGGGAAAATATTTAACAATAAATAAAAATACAATAAAACATAGAAAATTTTACATTTTAAAACCAAGTAAATGTGTGGCCAGCAGAGATCCTTATTTAGTTTAGTGATTTATTGGCCCTCATTTTTGTTTGAGTTTGACACCACTGCTCCAATCGGCTGAAGGCTATTACGATGCAAAGAAGGTGCTGATTTGCAGTAATAGAGGGAATTTTTCTGCTGGACGTTTCCCATGTTAGTAACACCACAGGTCCAGGCTCTATCCCTATTATTAATTTAAAATGTTTTTTCAAATGAGAAAACTGAGGCCCTGAAAAGCAACCTGCAAAAACTGGAAATTAGGCCTGTGTCTTCTGGTCTTTCCATGCTATCCATCACTTAACAGAACATTGGTTTTAAAAGAGTTTCCAATAAAGTTTTTTTCAAATTGTTTCAAATTTGCTCATACATAGAGAACTATTCTAGGAGTGCCACATATCAGGAACAGATTGGTGAGATGAGTGCATGTTTTATTCAAGTGTTTGCAACCCTAGCAGAAGATCAGAAAGAGATATTCTTATCAGATAAAATCATTAATCTGAGACTTTTAAAATGTCTTTTCCAACACATTGCCACTGTTTTCTTTGCTATGGGGGTACATTAAATTCAGTTTGAGAAATCACATTTGATGTTTTCAAAATGCCTGTCTGATAAATTAATCTGACAAAAGCCTCCCTTCTCAAATATATAGAGAATAGAGCCAAATTTATAAGAATACAAGTCATTACTGAATTGATAAATGGTCAAAGGATACAAACAGGCAGTTTTCAGACAAAGAAATCAAAGCTGTTTCTAGTCGTGTGAAAAAATGTTCTAAATCACTGTTGCCTAGAGAAATGTAAATTAAAACAACTCTGAGGTACCACCTCACACCCATCGGTTTGGCTAACATTACAAAAAAGGAAAATGATAAATGTTGGAAGGGATGTGAGAAAACTAGGAAGCTAATGCATTGTTGGTGGAGTTGTGAACTGATCTGACCATTCTGGAGAGCCATTTGGAACTATACCCAAAGGCCTGCCAAACTGTACATATTGATCCAGCAATACCACTACTAGGTCTGTATCCCAAAGAGATAAAAAAGGAAAAGGACCTATATGTATACAGATATTTATATCAGCTCTTTCTGGGGTAGCTAAGAATTGAAAATTGAGGGAATGCCCATCAATTGGGGAATGGCTGAAGAAGTTGTGTTATATGATTGTGATGGAATATTATTGTGCTTTAAGAAATGACAAGCAGGATGATTTCAGAAAAACCTGGAAAGACTTCATGAATACAAAGTGATGTGAACAGAACCAGGTGAACATTGAACATTGAACACAATAACAGCAATATTGCTGTCAACCCAGGTCTAACAGCAAAGCTAACTCTTTAGTCCACTAGGCCATTGCTGCCCTTCATATTAGAAGTTGGGGAAGCTCAGTTCTAGGCAGAAGGACTGTGAAGCTACACTTCTTTTTAAATTTTTTATATGTATTTAACCATTGGATTTGAATTAGCAAGTGAAAATTGCTTCCTGACCTGCAGCTGGAAACATAAATGCCTTATCCCCAGAATGTTTGAGAGTGGCTATCAGGGCTCATACCATAATGTGGGTATAGACAAAGTAGGCATTGTCATTCCAATTTTTTGTATCAGCTTAATGAATTTATTTTGAGCCTTCAAAGTTTAATATACTTAATTTCAAATTCATTCATTACCATCCCAAAAAGTATTCTTTCATAATCTTTAGACAATTCAAAGAAAATGTGTTCTGTTCTATAAAAATTAGTAAGAAGAATACTCATGATAAATGTGCATGTCACTGAACTATCTGAATGTCTATTCTCAACTACTTTAACTACCTTAAAGATTAAGAAAATCAAAGGCAATTCCCATTATGGTCTTAATTATTGAATTAATCTGGAAGTGTGATATTTTGTCTTTATACATTCCATATATTAACTTTTTAAGGGTGCCAAATTAGGTATAATAACTGAGCTTGTTACTGCTAGTACTGAAAACAAATAAGGAATAAAGCTTATAAAAGATCCTAATGAAGACAATTTTCTTTTTTACTTCACTTTCTTTATAATAATTGAAGTATTTAGAGAGAGAATTACCCATTATTCAAGTAACACAAGTATTTGGGTAACAGTAAATTAAAAGTTATAGAAGGATACACTGCAGGAATAGATGTGTCTAAATCTGAAGTTGATGTAAAAAAGACAAAAAAAGGAAATATAGTTCCTTAAAGGAAAAATAGTTCCTTTATTAATCACTCTTTTTCTCTTCAGTTTGTCTCTCAAGCCATATCAGAAGATTGGTTTGAATTGGCTAGCGCTGCTACATAAACATGGACTAAATGGTATTTTGGCTGATGAAATGGTAGGTAGCATGTCAGTTTTTCCTTTTAAATTTTATTATGAAGAGAAATAGTCATTTGAATCCTGTCTTTCCCATAATATTAACTATCTCCACCTTAGAGAAATTTATTTTGTCCTTTTGCAGTTTTCCTCCTATTCTATCACTAGATTGAAATTTGTTTTCCGCATCCTTTGATATTCCTGGTTTTCCTGAGTGGTCATGCCAGTGGGTTCGACCTCTCTTTTGCTTGACTCTTCAGTTAACTACCTCAGTTCCTTTGCACCTACTCTAATCCCCTACCTTTCTGTCTTGAGGCTCTGACATCTTGAAAATGAGACTAAGATTAGGCCTGAGCATGAGTAAGAATAACCTAAGCACCAATGGTCAGGAAGTGCTCCGTGACATTTTCTTAAGGTTCAAAAAAAAGGGATGGGGGAGAGAGAGATCATAGAGTTTTATAGCTGGCAGGAGCCTTACTCATAGTGTGATCCAAACCCCCTCATTTTACGGGTGAGGGACTGAGATCTCAAGGTGATCAAGCTAATTAGTGTTTAATCTATGACAAGAGTTGAGGTCTTTAGATACCTAGTAAGATGAATTTTTAAATTACTACTCTCATCTTGTGAAACTTGCCACATTTATGAATATCTTCTCATATAACAACCCGTGTGTTTGTACATTATCATTGTACAGTACATTCATTCCTGAGATCAGCACTTCTAAAGGATATATATTTCTGGTAGAAAATTCAATGAAAATATTCAGATGTACTTTTAGACTAAATAATGAGTACTAATGGAGCAGATAGACATGGCAACTTCAAAATACAACATTTGTTGATCCTTCTGCATTTGTTATTTGAAAATATAACATGGGCTTTAATGTTAATGACATTTGGCTGCAACATAGCAATTTTTATGTCCTATTAAGCTTGCTAAAATGGAAATCTCTACTTTGCTCATTGTTGAAGAAACTGTTACCAATGAGATTTATCTCACTTGAGGAAAAAGTAGTTAGTTTGTTTTTAATGACTTGATGCACTCTAAGGAAAATGAAGTTAATAACATTTAAAATACAAAGATTTATTGATAATTTTCCTTTTTTACCTTACAGGGATTAGGGAAAACAATTCAAGCCATTTCCTTCCTGGCATACCTCTACCAAGAAGGTAACAGAGGTCCTCATTTAATTGTTGTGCCAGCTTCAACTTTAGGTAGGTATTACTGGGGGAAGGGAAATCCACCATTTTTGTTTATTTGTCAATTTGATTTTCTAAAAAAGTGTTTAATATAAAGTGATTGGAGGTGTTGCTGTTTCTTTCCACATTTTCTTGTTGTAGAATGAATCTTAATACTAGATTTTATACTTCTACCTTTATGTTTTCTGGCATCCTTTTTCGTTTATCATATTGTTCCTGGTATTTTTAAAACAAAATAATTACATTTTTAAGGTAATAGCACTTACTAGAATTTCCATACTTTGGTATCATTGTTAAAGTAAAAGTCACTTTTAGGCATATAATTCTTTTGATTTAATCGCATTGATCTTAATTCACTAAACATTTTCTTTGACAAATACTGATAATGACTAGTTTTGGTTTGTGGTTTAGTAACTTATAATATCCATCTTTTTTTGATACTGTCTAAAAGTAAAAAACAAAAATTCACCTGAATTAGTAGTATCTAAACTATAGACTGTCTATAATGGATATATATGGATGTGATATGGATTAAATAAAGAAAAAAAAATGACATATAGAATAAATGGAAAGTAAGCTCAGAGTGGAAGACAGGAGCCCCGGAGGGCCCACTGCAGAAGGCCACTGACATTTGTTGAATAGGGTATAACATGGTTAGAACTGCACTTAAGGAAGGTCACTTTGGTAGTCCTTTGTGCAAGACTGGTTGGATTGGTTTGAAACCTGAGGCAGGCAGAGAGAGAAGAGGTGGTGAGGACCCAAGATAAGGTGGCTGCGTGGGCAGAGGCCAGGCGTTAAACGCAAGAAAGGAGTGAAGTCTGGGGATTTGTTGGCTATGCAGAGGGAAAATGAGTGAGTAGTTAAGGTTAACACTGAAGTTACTAACTTAATTAGAGAAATCTGGCTGAGAGGTGGGTTTAGTCGGAAAGGTAATGAGTTCTTTGGATTTGAGTTTGATATGTCTGAGGCACAGTTTGAAATGTCATAATCAGTTGGTGATGTGGGACTGGAGATCAAGAGAGAATGGGGCCATATATACGTACATAGACATAAACACACATACGCACAGATATACCTATCTATGAATCATCTGCACAGAGCTGACTGTGCCTTGAGGCCTCATGTTCTCCACCCCTGGTTTAAAAACCCAAGGAAGCTGAGAGGGAGTATAGAGAAAAGAGGGCTCAGGACAGAGCCTTGAGTTATACTCACATTTAGGGGGTGCAATGTGGAAGAAAAACCCTGGCAAAGGAGATGCTTTCAGCAGAAAGAAGGGAAGCCATTTAACCCCCTGCCGCCCTTTCTATCAACTCCAGTGGTTTCCTGTTGATTCCACGATTAAATATAAAATCCCATCCCTTCAAAATCTGGCCCCTTCCTACTACTTAAAGTTTATGTTCCCCCAAACTCTCCGCAATTCAGTGATACTGACCTCCTTGCTGTTTTTTGAATGAGATACTACATCCTCAACTCCACACTTAGTCACTGTCCCTCATGCGTGGAATTTTTTCCATTCATCTCTGCCTCTTGGCTTCCTTGGCTTTCTTCAAGTCTCAGCTAAAATCCTACCTTGTACAAGAAAACTTTCTTGACTTTCCTCTCACCACCTCCTTTCTACTAGGGCCTTCTCTTTGTTAATTATCTCTCTGTTGTATCTCTGTCTTGTTTTTTTTGTTGTTTTTGTTTTTTTAGTGAGGCAGTTGGGGTTAAGTAACTTGCCCAGGGTCACACAGGGAATAAGTGTCAAGTGTTTGGTCTGAGGCCGGATTTGAACTCGGGTCCTCCTGACTTCAGGGCCGGTGCTCTATCCACTGCGCCACCTAGCTGCCCCTCTTGTTTTTACATAATTGTTTGCATGCTCCTTCAGAGCAGGGACTTTTGCCTTTCTGTGTATCCCCAGTGTTTAGCACAGTTTCTGTACAGTGTTTAATAAATGCTAGACCAGGAGAGATTAGGGTTATGAAAACCCAAAATGGAGAGAGTATCTAAGGAAGAGAGGGTGATCAACGGTAGAAAATGCAGCAGAAAGGTTAAAGACGATAAGGGCTTAGAAAAAATAGTTAAGAGATCATTGGTACCTTTGGAGAGAATCATTTCATTTGAGTGAGGAGGCTGGAAACCAGGCTGCAGAAGGGGGTAAAGTGACTTAGTGGGGAGGAACTGGAGGCATCTGAATTACAGCTTTTTTTCCTAGGAGTTCAGCTAAGAAAAGGAAGAAAGATAAAGGGGTGATAGATTGAGGGAGTGGTAGAGTCTAGTTGAAATTTTTTTTTTTAATTAAGAATCAGAGAGCCTAAAAAAAAAAAAAAAAGAATCACAGAGCCTTGGGCTTGTTTGAAGGCAGTAGGGAAGAAACTCAGAAAGAGTGAGATGCTAAAGATTATAGAGGAGGAGATGGTTGAAGGGAGGCAGACTTCTAGAGGACTGGAAGGAATGGCATCAAGGGTATGCAGAGAAGGGTTTGCCTTGGCTTGAAGGGCTGCGTCATCAGAGACTGAGGGAAAATAGGAGAGACTGGGGAATGATGTCAGTGACTTTGGGGATGGAATTGGTAAATGGCCTATGTTCTTAGTAAAGAGTTGAGGTCCTCAGCTAAGAAGCTGAGGGCAGGGGTCTCACCTAGATCGTAAGTTCAGTGAAGACAAGAGAAGAAACAAGAGTTGGGGAAAGTGGAGATGAGAGAACAAAAGGTGGAGGGTAGGAGCTAGTTTACTTCCTAGACAATTAGGTAACACAGGAATAGGGAGAGTAGTGTTGGGAGCTTGCTGAATGTAGGGGTTGCATTGGGTAGCAGATGAATTAATACACTTATTCAGTGATTCTGTTGTAGGTGGGGGTGGGAAGCAGCAGGATAGAGTCCAGTCTGGGCCCTGCCCTCTGTGGTGTTGGAGACAAGACCAGGCTTCAGTAACAAGTGAACAAGCTTTTATTTGAAGAGCTTCTTTGAAAGGAAGCTTTTCCGTACGTCAAGACTAAATTTGCTTCTTTTAAACTTCTACCTATTTCTCCTAATTGTGATCTCTCAGGCCAAGGATAACAGAACAGGACTCTTCCATGTGACTAAGCTTCGGAGATTGAAGCAAGCTATCATATCCTCCCTAACCCCTCTCCAGATTAAACATCCCCTTGCTGTATGACCGTATTAAGAGTGGATTGTTAAGAGTTGACTGACCAACTCCATTTTTTTCTAATTCACCATGTAGGACCTCAGAACGTACTAACTGCCTCAAGAAAAGTCATAAAACCAGTTTAAGCTAGTTAACTTATTTCTTTTCCGTTTCATCTCATGTAAAAAGCTGGTGTTATAAACATTTTCTCATAACAAGAAAGAGAGAGAGAGAGAGAGAGGACCAACTGTTTTCTAATGGGTTTTCATTTCCAGCCATTTACTAGTGGAGCGTGCCTCATTCTGTCTGAATAAAGCTGTAGTGCCACTGTCCTGTCTTATTAGTCAGTTGGCAATGGCTAGTCAATGAACTCGACAAAAGAAAACCCGTAAGACAACTGATAATCATATGGCATGATCTTAAGGCCCTTTACCAACCTGGTTGCCTTTCTCTAGATCCTCTCCAGCTTAACAAAATTCATCCTAAAATGAGTTCCCCAGAACTGGACATGGTCCTCCAGATGGCATTTATTCAGAACAGAATTTAGTGGGTCTTTTAAACTGCCCTAATCTGGTGCCTCTAATATTAAAGCGTCCTAAGATTGCATTAATTTTCCAAGTTGCCATTTCACACTCTTGACTCATATTAAGTTCATAATTCATCCAACCTCCCCCGCCCCGATCTTTTTTCTGTACAGTGTTCTGTAGCCATGCTTTTCCTATCTTGTACTTGTGAAGTTGATTTCTTGAACCCAGGTATAGATCTTAAGTTTACAACCACTGTTAGGCTTCATCTTACTTGATTTGGCCCGATATTCTAGCCTGGTCAAATGTTTCTGAATGTGTGGTATCTGTTGACCAATTTGTGTAATAAACAGGTTTAATAAACATGCTATCCATGTCTTTCCAAGTCAAATATAAAATAGCACATGGCCAAAATTAGATCTTTGGGACGTTCCATTACAGATTTGACATTCAACTATTAATAATTATTATAAATAATAATAAATCGTTATCTTTTCCCCTAAACCATCCCTCCCTCTTAACTTCCCTATTACTGTTGAGAACGACATCTTTCCAGTGCCTTTCTCACTCTCCACGTCCAATATTTTGCCAAGACCTGTCAATTTGACCTTTGCAACATCTCTTGAATACGTCCCCTTCTCTCTTCTAATGCTGCCACCACCCTGGTACAGGCCCTAATTACCTGATGCTTGGACTGTTGCAATAGCCGGTGGTCTGCCTGCCTCTAGTCTTTCGCCACTCCAATCCAGTTACCAAAGTGATTTTCCTAAGGTACAAGTCTAATCCCATTACACACATACACCTGCCACTCCCCACTCCATAAACTCCAGCTGCTCCCTGTTGCCTCCAGGATCAAATACAAAGTCCTCTGTTTGGCATTCAAAGCCTTTCATAATCTGTCCACTTCACCCCATCCCATACATTTCCAGTTTTCTTCCCATCTCATGTTCTTTGATCCAGTAACATTAGTCTCCTGCTATTCCTCACACAAGACACTCCATCTCTCAGCTCCAGGCATTTCTTCCGACTGCCCCTCATGCCTAGAATGCTCTCCTTGCTCTGCTCTACCTAGTGACCTCTCTGGCTTCCTTGAAGTCCCAGCAGAAATCCCATCTTTTATTGGAAGCTTTCCCTACTCTAGTGTCTTTCCTTTGCTGATTGTCTCCTATTTATCCTATACATAGCTTGCTTTGTGTGTACTTGTTCACATATTGTCTCCCCCATTAGATCGTAAGCTCCTTGAGGGCAGAGGTTGTCAAACTTTTGTCTTTTTTTTTTTTTTTTTAAATATCCCCAGCGCTTAGCACAGTGCCTGGCACATAGTAGGCACTTATAAATAAATATTTATTGACTGACTAATAACTTCTCTTTGGACCCAGCCTTTTAAACAGTTCCTAATCCACTTAGTTGTGTTATTATCTAGCTTGCATTCCTTTGTGAGTAAACTATATCTGCAGCATAAGCATAGTCTGGCATGACTTGTTCTTTATGAATCAGTGCAGAGCTATTTGTCTCTGTAGATGTTCATTAATGATCCTTTTGATAATGATTATAGAATTTTGCCTCAAAAACTCGAACTCACAGATCTGTAGTTTGCAAAATCCATTCTCTTCCCTCACTGAAGTTAGTATTCCTTCTACCAGGTCATCCACTTATCCATGTCTTTCCATAAGTCTTCCATACAGGATCTTCCCAATATACTGGAAATTGACTTGGGATCATTTTAATGCTACCAGCAAATCATCTGTTATTCTTGACCCTTGCAAAAGGATAGCTTACCTTTTTTTTTTTCCCCTAGTCATATATTTCCTTTATGATGTATTTTATGTAATTTCTCTTGGTAATGTGTTGTAGCCTGTTTAACCCTCACCATATGTTTCCACTATCCTTTGGGTCATTAGTAATACTGAATCTCTTAGAGTGTGTTGTTTCATTATTTGCAACCATATATCATCGCCAGAAATATATTGATGTTAAAAAGATGAGCTTTTACAGTAGGAACAGTTTGAAATTATTGAAAATAACTGCAGCTTTCCAAATGTAGTACAGTCCACTCTCTTCTTTTCCAAGTTTAGATTCAGGTCATTGTTCATCATTTCCAAGAGACATAGACACAAAGAATAAGTCAATGATCAACCCCTGTGACTGCTTGTCATATTGTCAGTAATACACATTCTTTATTTACATAGTATTTTCTGTGTGCATTGTTAGGCAGGTCTTTAAGTGATCATGGATCTCATTAAAGAGGCCCCCATAGTGTTTTAGTGCATGTTGAGGTTCAAACAAAGCCATCTGCAACCAAGAGCATTTAAAGATTTGCTACATTGTTTGACATTTCTCAGAAGCTGTGAGCATAGTTCACTTTGGTTGTGTTTTTCAAGGAATCTTCTGTGTTCTAAACATCTGCCCAGAAGGACATCTTGGTGGAAAGAAAAGGCTTTAAAGACTTATGTTTTACTTTACTCAAATATCCTTCTTTCCTCCAGCTTTTAAAAAAATCATCAAACACACACTGTAGGTTCTTTATTCTCTTTACCACTCAATTGATTGTGTACTGACAACTGTGAAAGTGACTGTAGCTTACACACTACATTGGTTACTGAGGAGAAAAGGTTAGAGAAATCGTATGAATTTTATAAGGCCCTTCGATATTTTTTTTAAACATTGCAAAGGTGGGAAAAGGTGAGAATGGTGAAAAGTGAAGTGAGAAAACATAGTTAAGAAGAAGAAACGTGAGAAGACAAAGATCTGTTGATAACATAAAAACCTCATGCCTTTTATATCATGAATTTTTCAAAAAAATTTTGAGAAAAGAATCAATTGGTAGACCCTGACATGGTGAGTACCTGCTAACACTATAATAAATGAAATAGATTATACTTTGACTGACCGGAAAAGACTCGTTAATAGTGTGGTATTATTACTGAGTCAGCTCCACTTTTTGGAGCTATGATCAGAGTTAGTTTAAAAATAAAAACCTTCAAGAAATAACAATGAGAAAAACATATGGCATAAATTGAAATAACTTAACCCAGAGTTAAATAAGTAATTAAGAATGGAAAATGGACTACAGAGTTATTGACACTGACTACTTTTATTGAGACATTTAACCAGCAACAAATTAATTACCATAGCTAGGAGACCAAAAGAGCCTAGAGAGGGCTTTATTCAGCAAACATCTGACTTCTACGCCACGCTGAGATGTTTGCCAAAGACAACAGCAGGTCAGAATATAAACTTGTTCATAAGCTCTTATGATGAATAACGATGCTTCATTCTAAGTAGTATTGTTTCAAAGCAGAGAAAAACAAGGAGGGACAAAACCAGTTTAAAGAAAGTTTGGCAGGTATCCAACTAAACAAAGTCACTCCAAGGGCATTTAAGGATGAAAATGGAAGCAGGACAACAACCAGAAGAAAAATGAGGAAAAAATTATAACCAACTTTTCTCCTTTAAGGACAGTGGAACTCTAATGCCACAGTGGTTGAAATGGCACTAAAGAGAACAAAGACAAGAAGAACAACTATATTAGACTGCGTATGTATAGAGAAGATCTGTGTTGGAGGTGACACAATGGTGAACATGTTGAGGGACTGGTATATACGAGGTTTCTCAGAAAGGAGGGGAAGATACCAAAGGTATATTGGACCTTATTAATACTGAAAAAGGCTACTGAGAAAATAGCAGCAACTACTAACCTTTATAGCTTCTCATCTAAACAGAATCCTTGAGAGTCATCTAGATGAATTGAGGGAATCCTTGATGAGAGTATTAATAAGGAACAAGCAGATTTTTGCAAGTGATATTCAACAATGTAGCACATCTTTACCATTTTATAACTAACCAAAAGATGTAGAGATTTCATTGTTGATTTTGAAAAATTATTTCATTTGGTAGAACTAAGTACTGCTTTACAAGTCCTTACAAGGTCTTTTGTTCAGCAGAGTCATTCATAATTCCATGAAAGGTGGAAGAGAACCTGGGTGCGCCTGTAATCCCTACTATTGGGGAGGTTGAGACTGGTGGGTCTCTGTAGTGCTGAGCCTATTAGGTGTCTTTACTTAGGTGCCAAATAGTGAGCCCCCAGGAGCAGAGGGCTGCCAGGCTGCCTAAAGGGGAACAAACAAGCCCAGGTTGGAAACAGATCCAATTGAGCCCATGAGTGGACTGCAGTTCTATCTGGGGCTCTCCGGGATAGAAGAAGGAAGGAAGGAGGGGGATTAGCTGATTATAAGCTCCAGGCAAGGCGTAAAACAGGGAGACGGATATTTGTCAAAGATGCTGGCCATCGTGTTGGAGGAGATAAGCACACATACCACGTTCCTCCAGATGCTCCTTTTCTTGCAGATGACATCATGCTGATTGCCTCAAGCCTTGAAATATTGTAATCTCCTGTAAGATCTGAAATCACTCAAAAGAATTTAGCCTGACTTTTCACATAGAAGTAACCAAGGTGATTAAGACTGTCTATTGCCTGTATTACAACATTGATATGAATGGACATCCTAAAGAACTTGTCTAACATTTAATCTTGAGTCAGACAGCACAAATGGACAAGTTGGGCCCAGAGTTGAACAGGAAGAAAATGAGCTGAGATGCAAAACTTCCCATAACTCAGAGGAAAATAGAGAGGCACGGGGCAAATATGCACAGACTGCTATATATAACTAATGAGGATTTCTAAAGAAGAATAAGAATAAAAACATCAAAGAAGTATATAATTAGAAGGAAATATGGGCTGCTCAGATATTGAGAGTGAGGGACGATAGGTAGATGACCAGAGTGTCTCACTAGCACCCTTGCAATATCAGAAGAAAATGAAGATTTGCAGCATATTGGATGGATGTGGACAAACATTGAGTAGGAAATTGCAGGCACAAAAGATTTGTGTTCCATTGGGGGAGAAATCCTGAATGCATTGAGCTTGTAGACCCATTTGAATTGAGTACAGAGAAAAATTTGAGGGCCAGTATGAAGTAATAAGAGTTAAAAACTGAAGAATTGAGATATTATATGCTAACTTCTACTATATTTAAAAGCCAGCAAGAAAATCTGAAAAATACACAGCAGTAAAAAAAAAAAAAATGACATGTTTATTTGTTTAAATTAATATACATGTTTTAAAAAACAAATCACACAAAATGGAGTTCATGCTTTTGTTTGCATATTTAAATATTTGGGTTTTTTTATAGCTATAAAGTTTAGAATTGTTTTTAAAATATTAGTGACTTAATGGCATAAAGCATCTTAGTAGTATCATATCTTATTTCTATACCAAATGTCAACCTTTGCATTTAAATCACTTGAGTAACAAGGTGTATTTCCAGTGAATTTGCAAGAACTTAGCACTTTTTTTCACCATTTCTGCTATATGTACTGCAAAAGAGTGTTAGTGATAAGTTGAAATTATCATTCTTAACTGGTTATTATGTTTGTTTTATGCTCATCAGTTAGCTCTGCAAGGCATAGTTACACATGTCCTGTGAAATTATTTTTCTTATCTTTGAAAATCAGCTGCTTTATTTGTCACTAAAATGTAATTAGGTGATTATAAGTAAAACTCATTTACAATAAGCTTGTATACAATATTATGTGAGTTAATTGTAAAACCTATTACCGAAAGTAAACAGAATTTGAGTTATAGACTAGCATGTTCAAAATTAGTTTTTCTATATTTTCTATCTATTTTATGGTCAACTTATTGATCTGATTAGTCTACTAATGACTAAAGAATACAAAGTTCTAGGGGCAGTTAGGTGGCACAGTGGGTAGAGCTCCAGCCTTGGAGTCCAGAGGACCTGAGTTCAAATCCAGCCTCAGACACGTGACACTTAGTAGCTGTGTGACCCTAGCAAGTCACTTAACCCCAATTGCCTCACCAAAAAGCAGAAAAACAAAACCAAAAAAAACCCGCAAAGTTCTAGGAGTTCTACTTTAGTTCCTGTTAATCCTGACAAGATTCATAGAACTTTGGTTGAGAGAAAAGTCTTGAAATTAAGTTATCTTGAAGCACTAATGATTTCACTTGAAAGGCAGCTCTTTCTAGTTTAGTATGTTCAGTCTATCTGGTACATTACATTTAATGACCTTTTTCTTGGTAAATATTTAAATCATAATAAAATTCAAACTTGTAAACTACTTTTATAGAATAAACTTAATAATTTTCATCTATGTATAATAAAAATTCCTATTTGACTTCAGTTTACAGTAGAGTGAGTAGTTTGATGACTTCTTAAACTAAGTGCTAGTTACACTTGAGTTTCTTCTATGCATATCATGTAGCAGGAACAACTAACAGCTACTTTTTTGTTTTATAGACAACTGGATAAGAGAAGTTAATTTATGGTGCTCTAACCTAGATGTTCTCTTTTATTATGGTAAGTATACTTTTATATTGCTTCTAGCACCCAGAATGAAAACCTTGAAGTCACCTTTGACTCTCTTCCCCTTCCTCCTCTCTCCCTTCTATTTCTGCTGCCACGCTTTCCCTGGATTGTTGTAATAGCCTTCTGTTTCCCAGAGAGCTTTCACAAAGTTGTCCAGCTAGTACTCCTAATGCTCACACATAACTACATTACGGTCCAGCCCGAAGCTCTCCAGCATTTCTTTTTTGCCTGTATGACAATACAGAAACTTCTTAGCCCATTGCATTTGAAGCTCACTGCAGTCTGGCTCAGCTTTGATTGCAGTTTCATCACTGCTTCTTTTCATGCGCTATGTGTTTCAGCCAAACTGGACCAATAACTACTCCCTAACCTAGTCCTGCCCTCATCTGCTTTGGAGCATTTGCCAGCCTGGCACTATGTCTGGATGTGCTCCTTCCACATCCCTGTAAAAATTCTTTTCATTTTTTAAGGCAGTGTTCCAATGTAGTCTCTCTATGAAATTTTCCCCAATATCCCAGCTCAAAAGGGATTTCTGCCAGCTCAGACTTTCTTACGGCATTTTTGTCTAGAACTCTTGTGGTAGAATCTTATCTCTCTCCCTAATCCCATAATCATATTCTGAGTTTCTTGAAGATAAGCACTGCCTCAGCTTTTTATTCTTTGCATGTATTTTTGAGTGTGTGAAGTGGGAGGGGTCCAGACCTATAATTGAATTAATATAGGGAATTTCCCCAGGAAGGAAACTCATTCCACCAAAGCAGATCAGCAGCTCATCTCTAACTGCTAAGAGATTAAGTACCTCTGCCTCCATTCCCACAAGCAGTATTTGTACATGGCCTGAAAAGAACCCAGGCCTTCCTGATTCAAGATCAGCCCTTGATTATGTAATGCTGCCTCGAACTGAGCTTCATATAAAAGTATTTAATAAGTGCTTGTGGAATTGAAGGTGTGGAATCTTTTTATAGTCTACCATAACATTACCTGTTGCCTGGACTATTATAAACTTCCTAATTGATTTCACTATTCCCGTGCTTTCCCCTCTCAAATACATTCTTTGTTGTTGTTTAGTCATTTTTCAGTCCTGTCCAATTCTTAGTGACCCTTTTGGGGGATTTTCTTGGCAAAGATATTGGAGTGGTTTGCCATTTCCTTCTCCAGCTCATTTTACAGATGAAGATACTGAAGCAAACAGGATTAATTGACTTGCTGTGGGTTACACAGCTGTAAGTGTCTAAGGCCACATTTGAACTCAGGTGTTCCTGACTAAGCCCAGCACTCTCTTAGAAACCTTCAGCCTATGGGCTGCCTCTTTCCATGAAGACTTGACTGTATGCCACTCAGTTGTTAGTGGTCTCCCTCTTCAAATTCCTTCCTCCCTTCCTCTATGTTTCTCTATTTTTTTCTCTCTCTCTCATTTGTATGTGTTATGTTCCCCAGTAGAATTCCCAATTGATTCCAGAGGGCAAGGACTGCTTGATTTTTGGCTGTCTCCAGAGCCTAGCACAGTACCTTGTACAGTCTGCTCATTTAATTGAAGTATAGGGAATGAATAATATTCATAATTTCTATCCATTGCATACAACTTGAAAAGATGATTTTTCCAAACACATTTTTATCTCTAGGTTCTCAAGAAGATCGCAAACAGCTTAGATGTGATATTCATAATAAAGTTGTAGACTTCAATGTGATTGTGACTACGTAAGTACTAAAATTATTAGGAAAATTGACAAGAGAAAAAATAATATTTCTCAGTACTAGTATATAATAGGAGCAGCAGCAATGATTGTGATTTTGGTTAATTTGAGAATTTGAGGTCATTCTCAGTTGTGCTTTATCATTTCCGGGTAGGACTTTTTACCTCAATTTTCAGGTCAGCACCACCTGCTGTGAGAATGTTGATTATTTGGTCGTAACCAAAATAATGGGACATTCATTCAATCAACAAAAAGACAGCCTGTTTTGCTTTACTTGCTGCACTACAAATAGATCATGCACTCACTTAAGGGCACATCTTTGAGTAGTTATTTATGCATGGTAGTCAAGTTTTTAAAAAAAAACATAAAACATTTAAGGCAGTAGGAATTATTAAGTAATGATGTAGTTATTAAATATATAACTTTACATTGTTCATTGATTTCATTAGTGAGTATATTTTCCCCACCAGATTTTAATACTTTTTCATTTCATTCAAGTCCTTTCTGTGGTTTTCCATAACAACTCTTTCAAGATTCTACCTAACAGGCTAGAGATATTTCTCTTAATAATTTTTATAGATAATACCTGGCCCATTAGTGTAAAACTAGGCTTTTAGTAAATTGTCAGTTGAATGTTGATTATCTTGGGGTACCAGTGTAGCATTTGAGTCATCCATCTTTTGTTAACTAAATATTGAATATTCATTTATTTAATTTAACTATTTGATACAATTTTGTTGTGTTACATTTACTCCATCACTTGATGCCGAACTGTGTACTTCCTCATATTTGGTTAGAACTCACTCAGTTCTTTAAACAGTTGCTAGTCAGTTTTATTATAAAAAAAATGGGTCATTTCTGACCAAAACTTCCCCTAGTCAGTAGAAGGATGTTCTTTTCTTGCCAAATTCTGTCAGAATTTTTGGCATAATTCCTGTCAGTTTGTCCTTAGGATCAAACAAGAACTCATCTTCTAATCTGATCCTGTAGCAATGTGCTCCTATTTTCTATTTTTTTGGTACCACATATTTTTAAATTGTGCATAAACACTATTAAAAATATATATTTCAAAGAAAAAATCTGACTTTGTCACAGAAATACAGAACTCTTTACCCTGTCAGACAGAGCCTTTAAGTTGTCTGGTTTTTGTTTTGTTTTGTTTTGTTTTTTTGCTTAAGTTGTCCTTAGTTTTTTCTTTACATTTCAGACTGACTGCTCTTAGCTATGTAGTATATAATTTGAAGCATTATTGAGTAAATGCTGTGCCTAGAATTTTCTTTTTCCATTTTTGTTCTTTTATTAGTAGTTTTTGTCACTTCTGAGGGGACTCCTCCCCATTCCTTTCTTTCCTAATTAATATAAATGAGTCAGTGCTTCCTTTTGGGTAAAATATTTTATGGAATTTGCAGCTCTCTGGATTGTCTAAACTCTTAGAACACTGTCCTACAATTTTTATTTGCAATAGGTACAATTGTGCAATTAGCAGTTCAGATGACCGCAATCTATTTCGACGGCTGAAACTTAACTATGCAATCTTCGATGAGGGCCACATGTTGAAGAATATGGGCTCTGTGCGCTACCAGCACCTCATGACCATTAACGTATGCAATTCCTTCTCTATTCTTAACAAAGTACAAAATTTTAAAACTTGCAAATCAGATGTATAAACTCTTATGTAAGATGTAACATAAGAATATCAAGTATAAAACCTCTTCCCTCACTGCCATCCTCCTTGGGACAAAAAGGGCAAAGGTGGAAATGTTGAGTTTCACACGGTCAGCTTAAACACAGAACAAGTTTAGACATAAACTGTTGACCTGAACGATTTCTATACTCTGACTGCTTTTAGCAGAAAAGCAAATATACATGTTATGGTAGAAAAACTACTGGCCAGAGAGGCTAGAATCTGGAGTTTTCAAATTGGCTATACTACCAATTAGTTGTAAGACCATGGGTAAGTTATTTGACATCATTTGGTAATCTCTGACGTCCCTTCAGCAGATTACTAGCACATTTACTCATGGGGTTTTTGGGGGTGTGTTTGTGCATATGTTTGTGGGGGTGTGTGTGTGTGTGTGTGTGTGTGTGTGTGTTTAAATTACCTAATTTCCGTTTCTCTCTGTCGTAGGCAAAGAATCGTCTGCTACTTACAGGCACTCCTGTTCAGAATAATCTATTGGAACTCATGTCTTTGTTGAATTTTGTCATGCCTCATATGTTCAGTAGTAGCACCAGTGAAATCAGAAGAATGTTCTCTTCCAAAGCAGTAAGCAGAGAGCACATAACACATGCTGCATACATATATATCCAGGCCCAATTTTCATTCCTTCCCACTTTTAGTTTTAATTTGTTGAAGGGAAAGTTTAAACAATTTAGAAGTGGTTCATGGTGAAAAAGATTTACCAAATTGGACTGTTAACTATCGTTCTACCTAGTATGAACTATAACTGGGAAAATGTTGACCTCTAGTCTGAGGAGTAGCTCATTTTTACCAGTAATTTGCAGAACAAAAAAAAAAAGTCTTCATTACTTGTCCTTATTGCTGAAGGAAAATGCTGAGTCGGCACATATATAAGCTATAATGTAACAGAAATATTAATTGCTTGTGGTTCCTGAACTATAAGTACTCAAAAGTTCAAACTATAATACTTAATCAGGTCCTCTTTAAGAAGCAGATTACAATCTAAAAATTAAATCTTGCCTGTAATCAGCTTGGGATATTTGGAGAAAGGGGGAAGACCCTCTTAGAATGTAGGTGTGGGAGAAGCCAAGAGGCTTATATCCATGAGTGTGTTTGAATACCTGTAAATAAGCCACCTGTATTGTTGAGATTTTTAAAAAGTGATTCTTTTTTCTTCCATTAGAAGTCTGCTGAAGAACAAAGTATATATGAAAAGGAGAGAATAGCACACGCTAAGCAAATTATAAAGCCATTTATTCTGAGAAGAGTAAAAGAAGAGGTAAACTCTTCCTCTGTGTATTGGTTGGCAGTATTATATTTTGTTTTATTTAAATGAGGAAAACTTTCCTTAAATAAATTCTGGTTTTTTTCCTCAGGTCCTTAAGCAGCTACCTCCCAAAAAAGATTGTGTTGAACTATGTGCAATGTCAGAAAAGCAGGAACAACTCTACTTCAGCCTTTTTAACAAAATGAAGAAATCCATCAATGGCATGGGTATAACCTGATTTTGACAGTGTACATTATATACTGGTTTATGGATGTGTGTTGCTTTTAGATGGTGACTTTTTTGTTTGTTCTTTATCTCACTGAACTAAAAAGATTTTTTAAAAATTGAATATTTACTATCATTTAAAATAATCATTAGATTTAAATTTCAGTATGCACTTTTTGACTTGCAGAGAAAAGCTCAGAAATGGGCAATGTGATGATGCAACTAAGAAAAATGGCCAATCACCCTTTATTACATCGTCAATATTACACAGCTGAAAAACTCAGAATAATGTCACAGCTGATGCTAAAGGTAAGAGTGAATGCATGACTGTATGATCCTCTTTACTCGCCAGCTCATAGCACTTAGCCTGAACTACAAATCCCAAATCTTCCATTTCTTTACCATATATATGACCTTAGGTAAGTCATTTCATTTTTCAGGTATTCCATTTCCTCATTTGTTTGAGATATTCTAAAGTCCCTTCTACCTCTGACATCCTGCAGTTCTGTAAAAGTCAAATACTGTGTCAAAACCGAATAGGATAAGAACAGACTATTTTCAAAAGTGGAGGTACAGATTGTTACAGTCACTTGAAAAATGCTCAGCCTCACTAATAATTAAAAGCAAACAATGGTGAGGTATGCCACCTCAGTTCTTTCAAGTTGGAAAAAAATAACAAGGAAATTAGGTACTTAGCAGAGTTATTGAAAAAGATATACTTATTTATTACTGGTTGAATTGCCAGCTTTTTGGAGAGCAGTCTGACACTATGCAGTGAAAGTTAATAAAAAAAAATCGTACCCTTTGACCCAATACCTAGTAAATGCATTGTTGGGAATATATACCATAAAAGGGTTATTGATAACAAAAAAGCTGTCTGTTAAAACTGTCACAGCAGTGTGTGTGTACATATGTGTATATACACACACCTAAAAAACTAGTTTAAACAGTTATGAGAAATACATAGCAGTTCTGAAAGATCTTTATGAAATAATGCAAAGGGGAAAAAGCTGAAGCTGACAAACTGAGTAACACTAATTATAATCACAGGGAAAAGAAAATGAAAGGACAGAATTCTGTTGGACGTTCTCAGATGATGTTAAGATATTTTATGCATTGATATTAATGGTAACAGGTACTAGGAAGTTTTAATTGTTTTGTATTGATGTTCAGTGTTGAGTTGTTAATAAAACATTTTAATTCCTTTCGTGCTGTATACCTACCATCCTGAATGTACAGGAAGGCTGATGATAGATTAGTAATTAGCAACAATTGTTAGCAGCACAATAGATAGATATGCAGATGATCAAGAAGTTGAAGATACATTTAAAACATTTGCAAATTTAAAATGTTTTGCAGAGTTCTCACCCAAAAGGAAGAAGGAATGAGAATTATCTTATTTTTCATTGACAAACTTTTGTGGTTTATGTTCACAAAAATTTGTGAATCAAACCTTATTTCCTCGTTTATTTTCTGTAACTTAAATGAAACTCACCTAGAATCCTAATGCTCATCTAAGAATTCAGTTTTATTCTGATTTACTACTCCAAACTTGATAAACAGCTCTATGAAACCCTAGTGCATTGGTAATAAGAGTCTGGGGAGAAAATTATACTACTTACTAGCTTCCCTTTCTAAATAGTAAATATTATTTTGTGTTGAAATACTTGATATGACAAATTTTTGCATGACACTAAACTTAATTTCCACTGTTTTTCTTCAAAATTTCTCCAAGTTCCCTGTGCCCTAAAACTTAAGCTCTAAATCAAAGCCTTAGACCCAGTACTTACCTAATCCCATAAATATGTTACCAAATGATCCTGAGAAGCACTCATCAAATCCAAAACTCTCATTTCATGGAAAAGAGAAGTGTGTCTGTCCCCTGCTCCTCCCCACCCTACAAAAAGGTCACTAATCTAAAGTCACAAATGGCAAAGCCAGATGAGGGGAGACTGGTCACATAAAGTGATAAAGTTACCCTCCTGAGTGCAACAGTACACTGAGAAAAATTAAATTTCCCCACAAAATGGTGCCAAATATAATTTACCAAAAAAATAAGCAGTTAAGCCACTAAAACTTTATTCTGCTGCCCTTCCCTCTATAATTTAGAAGTGACCTTGGGTTCTTGAAGCTTGTGCAAAGACAGCTCAAGCTCTAGGCTTCTTTCTACTTCACCACACAACCAACTGTAAAAAACTTTAATACATTTTTATTAGTATCTTCGGATTTTTGATGATCACCTGGATATCTCCACATATCCCATTTCTTCCCCTTCCCCACAGTCATCCCTTATAATAGAAAATTTTAAAAAGAAAAGAGCAAGAAGAGAAAAAAATTCCACAAAACCAATCATTACATTGAAAAAATCTGATTTATTCAATGTCCAGACTTGTGGACCCTCCTTTTCGGCAGAGGAGTGTGGAGGCATCTTTTCATCTCTTCTTTGGAGTCACCCTTGTTCTTGATAATTTTGTAACGTTTTTTGATTGTTTGCTGCTGGTTCTTTCCATTTACATTGTTGTCGTTGGTTGCATGGATGGCTCTGCTTACTTCAAATTGCCTTAGTTTCTTTAAGTCTTTTCCTGCTTCTTGCTATTATTCAGTATGTTTATAGGCAGCTAAGCGGAGCAAGGGATAGAGTGCTGGGCCTGGAGTCAGGAAGACCTGTGAATCCAGCCTCAGACACTGTTTGCCTCAGTTTCCTCAATTGTAAAATGAAGCTACAGCACCTGCTTCCCAGGATTGCTGTGAGAATCAAATGAAATAAGTTTTGTGAAACACTTAGCAGCACATTTCCTGAAACATAGTTGGTGCTGTATAAGTGCTTACTCCATTCTTCCCTTTCCTTTATGGTTTCCTATAGAACAGTGTTACTCCATTACAGTCATGTATCTCAGTTTGTTTATCCTTTCTCCTTTTGGTGAGTATCTACTTTGTTTCAAATTTTTTCCTACCAAAGTGCTACTGTAATTATTTTTATATGTATGGAGGCTTTTGTCAATGACCTCCTCAAGTATATACCTACCAATGTGGGACCAAGAACATAGACATTTTAATTACTTTATTTTGCTTAATTCCAAATTGCTTTCCAAGATAGTTGTATTAATTCACAGATCCATATACAATGCATTAGTGTACCTATCTTTCAAGAATTCCTATAACATTGACTGTTAGCATATTTTTATCATCTTTGCCAGTTTGCTGGGTGTGGGGTGAAACCTTAAGGTTGTTTTCTCTTGTTATTAGTGATTTGAATTTTTACATGATTGTTAATAGTTTTCAGTTTTTTTGAGAATTATTCTTTTCTTTTGACCACTTAGGACCAACTTCTAAGACATAGGCAAACATTTACTAGCAGAATTTAACCTGAAATAATTTATGTATTAGTTCAAATTAACTCCATTAGCTAGCATGCATGCCCTTATAACCCTGTTCCTTTTCATTACTAACTGATATGTGTGGCCTTTAAGTGTCTGTCTTCTGGGTAGATTTATTTACTCCTGTTAAATATTCTTCAATTTTGCACTTTTTAAAAAGTCCTATATTAATGAAAACTATTCTAATCTCTCTGTCTACTTTTAGTGATAATGTCACTAAAGATCATTGTCTCGGTTTTGTGAGGGAAGTTCTTGACTGAGTTGAATTCGTTGAATTCATCTTTGTTTGTTTCTGCCTACTTGTTTCTTTTTACACCTCTGCCAGACAAGGAGCAATGGGAATGACTTAAGACTTTATTTTACCTTCTCTTAGCTTTTGTAAATGTAAGTGAAAATGAATGGTGAATTCAAGGTTACTCTTATTGAATTTTGCTTTTTTTTCTAACGTCAAAGGAAGTGGAACCATGAGAAAAACTAGCAAAGTATTTTTGTGTTTTTGAAGAGTTTTCACAAATTTAAAACACTTTGTTTTTTTCACTTTATTTAACTTTTATGACTCATAAAATCAATTAGGGATATCCTAATTGATTTTATCCAAGGTATGAATACAGTGGTTATTTGATGATTGTGGTCTTCCTAACTTGTACTGTCATTAGCAGCGTAAAAGGTCACTGCTTAGTGTGCTTATGTCAATGTGTAAAATTGCATCTGGGGGTTGTGCTCGGAAGCACAAAAGACCACATGTCCAAACAGAGAAGTAGATTACGACTGAAGTTTCTACTTCCCTATTGTCAGTGACTCATTTGAGTCACTAAATTAGTTTTCTCTATCTGATCCTGAAAGAGTTGCATTAGAATGTTGTATAATTTCACCAGTATCTGAAGTGTACTTGCTAGTACGCTAGTATTAGTCTTAATTATTTGAATAACGTAGTGTAATTAACTTAAAGCCGGCACACACCTTATAAGTCAGTGAGGCCACCCTTCTCAATTTACAGTTGACAGGACTGAAGCTCGAGATTGTGACGCTAAGGTCACACAGCTAGTTAACACCAGAGGCAGGATTTGAACCCATGCTTTCTTGACTCTGTAGGCTACAGCAGGCTGCCTTTCAAGGGACTGAGGAAACAATTGAGATTAGTTTCATATTACCATATTGTAAAGTATAATTTGAAATAAAATTTTCTTTTCTTTTGAGGAACCTACACATTGTGAAGCTAATCCTGACCTGATTTTTGAAGATATGGAAGTTATGACGGACTTTGAACTACATTTACTTTGTAAACAGTATGCACATATCAATGACTTTACGTTAGACATGGATCTCATTTTGGACTCCGGAAAATTCAAGAAACTAGAATGCATTTTGTCTGAATTAAAACAAAAGGTATTATGCAAAAATTAGTCATTGTACACTTCCTTATTCTCCAGCCTTCAGTATTAATATTAGTTTGATTTTTAAAAATAAAGTCTGCAATTAGTAATAGCTTTTTGTAATATCATGGGACATTACTAATTACTACAGACTATTTTAATGTAGTCTTACAATTTTGTTAAAACGATAAAATTACTATTTTTGAAGGCAGGGACCTTGTCTAGTATGTGTCCTTATATTTAATGTACTTCACATCCTATGTATTAGTAAGATTGCATTACAATTCATTATGTTAGCAAAAATCAAATTACTAGTAATATTGTAGCATATGGTGTATAAATTAAAAATGAGAAAAAGATAAAGTAGGTATACAGTTTTTCCGTAACTGAAAGCAGGAATAATTTAAGTAAGATTTTAAAAGATAAGATTTAAGAAGCAAAACCAGGTGTGAAAGTAACCTGATTTCGCTTTTGGAAAATTTTACTTATGCACTTGACTTTTTGCCAAAAATTCTCTCTTTTCCACCTCCATTTCCTCCAGGTACTTTTCCTTCCTCTCAGACTCTCATTTTCAATCTTTCCCTGTCTGCTGTTGCGTTCCTGTTGCATATAAAAAATGCTCTGAACTGTCCTGTGTTGAAAATTGTTGAAAAAAAATTTTTTTTTTAAAAAAACATCCCTTTATTTGATCTTGCCATCCCCTCAACCTGTTCTTCTGTTTCTCTTCTCCGTTTTGCTGTTGAACCCCTTGAATCTGCATTTGCTACCTCTTCTTTCTCACCTTCTACTCAGTTTTACCATTGCAAGCTAACTTTCCAGTCCACCAGTCAGCTAAAATTGTTCTTTCAAAATTTGCCAGTGCTTTAGCTGCTAAATCCAGTGACCTTTTCTCTTGTTCTCCAGATGCATTTTGTTATTATTTAGCTCTATAAAGCAATATTTTGTAGTTTGGTAAGGCAGGTGGTATTGTCATTTTTATTATATTAGCTTGCCTTACCTATGAGTAATTACCATTTCTCTAATTATTTAGATCTGTCTGTATTGTGTTCAATATAGTCATATAAGACTACCAAGTATTTTCTATTATCTTTAGTTTGTTTTGTTTTTTTTTTGTTTTTTTTTTTTGCTTTTTTGGTGAGGCAATCAGGGTTAAATGACTTGCCCAGGGTCAAACAGCCAGTAAGTGTCAAGTGTCTCAGGCAGATTTGAACTCAGGTCCTTCTGACTCCAAGGCCGGAGCTCTATCCACTACGCCACCTAGCTACCCCATCTTTAGTTATTTTTAATGGAATTTCTCTATCTCCTTTGCTCAGTTTCATTGTTAATATACGGTAATGCTGATGATTTGTATGGGTTTATTTAATAGCTTGCAACTTTGCTCGATGGTGGCCTTTTCTCACCATTTACCTTGCTCTCTTTGTTGGTTTTGACTTTCAGCTATCCTCTTTTCAGGAAACTGTTGCCTTCTTTGACTTTCATGACACTTCTTTCTTGGTTCTCCTACATGTCAGATCCTTTGCTAGGTCATCAATCTTAACCCCCTAACCCCCAAGCATGGGCATCCCTCAAAGCTCTGCCCTGGGGCTTCCTGTCTATATCTCATCTTGGTGATTTATTTAATCAGCTTCTTTGGGTTCAGTCATCATCCCTGATACATGATTCCCAAATGTGTTAATTTTTCTTTGGAACTACATTCCTTGCTGAGTGTCCCCACCTGAACGTCCTGTAGGCATCTCAAATTCAACTTCTCCAAACCAGAATTCATAGTTTTCTCATCCCAAACTTGATTATTTCTTTTGATTGTACCTCTAGTTTTTCTATCACCCAGATTTGTAACCTCTGAGTCATCCTTGACTCTTAGCCCTCTCTCAATCCCCTACATTTAATTGAGAGCCAAATTTTATGGATTCTGTTTCAATAACCTACCGTGGATTTAGCCTCTTCTTTCCACATTCATGTGCCTACCAGGAGTCTAGACTAATAACTCCTTAATTGACCTTCTTGCTTTTAATCTTTCCCCTCTTCTGTCAAAATAATCTTCCCACAGTATAGATAAGCATGTCACTCAAACAACCTTCAGTGGTTTCCTGCTGTTGCCTATAAGGCAGTCTGACTGCCTCTTATTTAAGGCCCAATCTGGCTGCAGGTAAGCTGTATTTCATGCCTTTACAAATTCTCCATTTCATCCTCACTGGACTACTACCTGTTCCCAGACCTTGCTGATGTCATCTCCTGCATCTGTTTATTTGTATAACCCTGAAATGCATTCTCTTCTCTACTTTTCAGAGTCCTTTTTTATTCTTCAAGATCACTTGTTACTTTCTGCATGAACACTTCCCTGATTGTTTCCTTCCTCCTCTCTCCTTTTAGTATCCTATTCGTCTTCAAATTACTTTGTTTGCTGTTTATTTGTATACATGTTAAATCTCCATAGCCCCACCTACTCACCTTGTCCTGGGAAAATTTCCTTGATGGCATACTGCTGGGGTTCTTGTTGTTGTTGTTGTTTTTTAATCCTAGCACCTAGCACTTGTATTATCAATAAATAAACGTTTCTTGAATTGAGATAGGTCTTTATGTATTCTCCCCCCCCCCCCCCTTTTTTTTTTACCATGGAGAGGGAAAAACCAATAGGCTTAGTGTTGCATTCCTTAGAAATAAAAGGTATGTGCTGTAAAACTGTCTAGTGATTGTAGTAAAAATCCAGATATTGCACATCTTTACATGCTAATAAGAATTAATAATTATGATTTGTGAATTTGTGTCTGTTTTCTCTTCATAGGGTGACAGGGTTGTATTATTTAGCCAATTTACAATGATGCTGGACATCTTAGAGGTTCTTCTAAAACACCATCAGCATAGATATCTTAGATTGGATGGAAAGACTCAAATTTCTGAAAGGTTGGCTTTTTTACTTGTAAAATTACAAATTTATTTCTTTGACAACTGATGCCATCTACTATGTTTAGAACATTTACTATGCATTTTATTATTTCTAGTCTTTTGAAAACTGTAACTATAAACATAAAAATTTCAAATTCCTTGTCTCTGTGCTGTTGTTCATTTTAAAACTTTGCTCATGTCACTTAAATGCTTTTTGGAAAAAAATTATAGGAAATGTACTAAGTATTTCTAAAACTTTAGAATATTTTCCCCTAAGTTGAGGAGTCATTTTTCTAATAGTAATTAATAAATTTTTTCAGAGTATTTTTGTCCTTGGCAGCCAACTAGTACCATATTTATGAATAGTTGCTGTATTGAGGATACTGCTATTTCTAATAAGCCCTGTGTAATAATATTATTACAAAACTAAAATCTGAACTGGAACTTACTGAAATTTCATAACAGTGCAAACCTTAGAATAGCAACCAAGAAACAGATATTAGTTCTGGACAAGGAGAACCAGGACTCAACCAAAGAATATTAACAGATAGGTTTCAGCTCTGCCTTGTGTTCAAGCCCCTGTGATTATGATTATACTATCCTCTAGCAATATCTTGACTGACTCATAATGGAGAATGTCTTGGAACTGTATCATCACTGAGGACAAAACTTTTGTCCAACTCTTTGTTAAATGTCGTGACTGTTTCTGGATGGTTGAATTGGTTAGATGCTTTAACTTTGTGAAGATGTAGTTTGGATAAAGCGATAAATGGAGCTAAAGGAGATTGCAACATTAAGAGTTTTGACTAGTCAAAACTACTAGAATACATACTTTATTATGTAGAGTTAGTATCAGAGCTTATACAAATATTATGTAATATCTACAAAGTTTAAAATGTTAAAAGATATTACTGTGTGAAGATGACACCAGTTAATGTGTGCGCTTTGAGTTGTATTTTTTGGTAGAGTTTATTCATACATACTCAGCTATTTATTCTTCCTTTGTTTCAAATGATATAAAACATTGTGACTAGCCAGTTTACTATATGTGGCTCATATCAGTAATAAATCCTTATCTTTGGCTTCATTAGTACTATATACTAATCTGTTGCAGGCAAAAATGGGTTTTTTTATTTTTCATTTGTACTAATATAAACATTTCATTTTTCAGAATTTTACATAAATTTTTCCAATTCAACAGTGTTATTTTATAATAATTTTGGTGTCTTAACTTCATGTATTAATTTTTTAGGATTCACCTAATTGACCAGTTCAATACAGACATGGACATCTTTATATTTCTGCTATCAACAAAAGCTGGCGGACTTGGGATAAATCTGACCTCTGCAAATGTTGTTATACTTCACGATATTGACTGTAATCCATACAATGACAAACAAGCTGAAGACCGATGCCATAGAGTAGGTCAGACTAAGTAAGTATATTGAATTTTCCCTCCCTTTCTTCAGCAACCTACCACCTCCAAATTGGAAAAAGGAAAGAAAAAAAATTTATTTTAACAATATGTGTACTCAAGCAAAACAAATTCCCACACTAGTTGTGTCAGAAAATTTATGTTCTGTTTCTGTGTGCTGAATCTTTTACATCTGTCAAGAGGTGGGTAGCATGCTATTGGCCCAAGAATTCTTGAGACTTTCTTTACAATGTTATTTTATTCCACTCATTTCACTCTGCATCATTTTATACAAGTCACAGGTTTCTCTGAAACCGTCTTTTTTGTCATTTCTTACAATATAATAATATTCTATTGCGTTAAAAAAAACCCATGATTTGTTCAGCCATTTCCCAATTGATAGGCACACCCTTACGTTTCCAATACTTTGCTGTAACAAAGAGATATGCTTAAAGTTCTTTAATAGTGATTTGGAGCATTTTATTCATAAGGTTGAATTTATTCCTTTGAAAATTGCCTGCTCGTATGCCTTTACTGTTGGGGAATGGGTCTTTTCAGAAACATACTTCAGAAAAAGAAAGAACCATACTGCAAAGGTTTTTCCCCTCAAGTTAATTGTTTCCCTTCTAATTTTAACTGCATTTTGTTTGTACAAAACCTTTTTAATTTTATGTAATCAAAATTGTACATTTTATCTTCATTATTTTTCTCTGTTCCTTTTTTAGTCATGAAACTTCCCCCTATCCATAATTGGGAAAGGTATCTTTTCTTCTTCTAATTTGTTTATGATGGTGTGATTTTTTTTTTTTTTTTTTTTTTGGTATATAGAACAAGATGGTCTGAGTGCAAATTTCTACCAGCCTGCTTTCTAGTTTTCCCACTGATTTTTGTCAAATAGTTTTTACCCTCATAGTCAGGATCTTTCAATTTATCAGATACTATGCTAACATCTCATTTGCTTTTTTAGCTCTACCCGGCAATCCTTTGGTAGCTTGGTATGGCACTGAATAAGTAAATTAGGTATAGCTGTCATATAGTTGGTTGAAACTTTATCAGTTATTCATCATATATAAGAAAATGTCTGTGTACTTTTTATCAGATTTAACTTTTTTTTTCCCCAAAGAAGTTGTGGCTTTATTGTATACACCACCACACCTAATATGGTTAGTTGTTTCTGTGAAAATGCAAAACAGTGTTAGTTCCATAGAAATAAAACTTATTAACACAAATATGAGCACTCATTTGTAATGTTGCAGATGGCAACAGCAAGTTTTTTTGGTGTTTGTGTGTTTTTTAGTACACCATGGATGGCCTTTTTCTATAAGACACTGATGACCTTCCTGTCAAAACAGCATCGGTCAGAGCAGTGTTATCTGTGATTTGACTAGACAGGTAGCCTTGATATAATAAAAATTCTACAAGATATTGTTTGTTTTGATTTAATTGGTTAAAAATACATTGCTATAGATTGCATTTGTAGCCTACAGAAATTGAAGATGAAATGCTATGTCTAGCCTAACTTTAAAATACTATTTGGGGTCCAACAGAGTTTAGGAAATTGATTATATACTAATCCATTTTGTTAACTACTCTGCCTTCTGAAATATGCTTCAATTTGTTAAGTTAGGTTTTGACTTGGGAATTAGTTAAGGAAGTTAAATTGTTTCTTTGAATTACAAGACAAATGGAGCATAAAGAGTGGGTAGAAGTTAGACAGGAACTTTTATGGTTAGAGTTTTCTAAAAATGAATGAACTTTTGGAAGGTGGTAACTTCACCATTACTGAAAATGTTCAAGCACTGATGAGATGATGATATGCCAGGGAAGTTTAAACAGCACCTTAGAATTCTTGCATAGTGCTTTGTACTTCATGGAGTACTTTCATAAGCCTTGTATTTTATATTCATATCAAGTACCAGGTGAGATTATTATTGCAAATGAGGAAATAGGTGTATACAGAGGTTCCAACTTGATCTTACTCATTTAGCTAGTTAGTGGTATAGTCAGGGACTTGAAGGCTTAGTGGATATAGAGTGCTGGACTTGGAATAAGGAAAAGCTGGGTTTGAATCCTGCCTCAGACACTTGCTAGCTATGTGACCATGTCCATCTCACTAAGCCATCAGTTTCCTCATCTGATATTTACAACATTCATCCGTGGTGGTTCTGAGGATCAGAAGAAGTAATTTATGTAAAGTGCTTTGCACATCTTTAAAGTGTCAGATAAATGTTATGATTCATTATTCTTTAGACTTAGAATCCAATTCTTTGAGCTCTTCATCTGTTCCCCGTCCTTACTACACTCTTCTTTTCTTACTGTTTGTGTAGCATTATTTTCAAATGTTTTATTTAATACCTTTTTTTAACCTGTGCTGTCATTTTCCAACACACTATTCTTTTCCCCCAAAAGATCCATCAAAAGTACAGTTCAGCAAAAGCAGTGTCTGCCAATGTATTCCTATTCAACACCTATAACTCAGCACCTCTCTACTGAGAGGAGGGAAGTATGTTTGTTTCATCATCAGTCCAGACTAGTCCTTGCATTTATCTGGAATCTGGTATAGTGTTATTTTCGTTTCTGTAGTCATTATGTGTGTTCTTTTCTTCCTCCTTATTTCCCTGAGGGTCACTTCAAGCAAGAAATCATATTCATGATTTCTATTTGTTTGTTTGTTTTTGTTTTTGCTAGGCAGTGGGGTTAAGTATATTCATGATTTCTCATGCCTTAGAATTTTCCGTTAAATTCCTGTGCCACAAAAATTTAAGACAAAATATTTCTTTTTATGAACTATGTGCAGATGGGGAACTTTAGATCTTTTTGTTAGGTAAAATTTAGTCAACAAACACAAACATCCCATAAAATACACAGAACTAAAAAAATGAGTATATGTGTGACAAGTAAAAAGTTTGAGAAACAATTTCTGGGTAATTAACCATTTTATTGTGGCTAGTGTATAATTAATAAAAGAATGGGTCATTTGGCCATCTCTCATGAACCAAAGATGTATCTTGGTGGCCTGTTGACGTTTATATGCCCTGGAAGAGGGGTGTTTCTGAAAGATAACAATCAACTTTGTTGGAGAGGTGGACCCGTTCTAATATGTGGCTGGGGGATGTGACTTTGATGATGTCACTTTTGCTCCCAGACCTGCCCTCTGCCCTTGGCAATCTAGACAAAGGATTTATACCCCACCTCACCCCCAAGTCTGAGTAGAATCCAGTGAGCTTCCCTAGTTAGGTGGGGTCTGAACAAGTTTGAGGAGAAAATCCAGTCTCATTATCAGCTCTGTGCTCCTGCCCTCCCCCACCAGCTACGTCTTGTAACAAATAAGCATAGCCAAGGTGGCCATCTGAAAATGTTTTCCTCAACTTACACTTCTTCTAGTATCTTGTATCTCTACCAAGAAATAAGTCCTAAAGGTTTCACACTTGTAAGTTATTGTCATCATCATGTAACTTGTTCTTCTGATTCTGCTTGTTGTACTCTGCGTCAGTTCATCTAATTTTACCCTTGAACTCTTCGTTCATTTTAAATAGAATTACCAACTATTTGAAAATATTTTATTGAATTGTTTTTAGAAATAAACAGAACTCATTTTTTCATGAGTTCTTGTTAATTCAAAGATTCAGAAGAGAGTTTAGAACTTTCCCTTTTCAGTTTTCCCCTTCCCCTCCATTTTCGAGATAGAAAACTAAGGACCAGTGAACAGGACATGGCATGTGACTGCCTAGGAGGGAGCCGTTGGCCAAGATGGAACTAGAACCTGGATCTCCTAGAAATATCTGAATTCTGTACCTAGATTGGTCGTGGAGTTTTAACATACATCTGTTATAAGTGCTCTAAAATGTCTTTATGATAACATATTCTATGTGCAAATAACTATAAATATAGATAATAAAAATTTCCTACTGTCGTTCCACCCCTTCTGATTTTAGAGAAGTACAAGTCATAAAGTTAATAAGTCAAGGGACAATAGAAGAGTCCATGCTCAAAATCAACCAACAGAAATTGAAACTAGAACAAGATATGACCACGGCAGATGAAGGTAAGTTACTAGTATGCTTTGTGAAAAATTGTTTGCTCCACATAGCTAGCACCTTAGACAAATAAACTGGTAATAATAATGACAATAAAGTACTTTTTTCTACTTTAGACTTTTTTGAGTTATAAATTGGGAACATTCATGCTTAAGTGAGCACTGTATAAAAAGTTTGAAATGTAGTTTAGTGATGAGAATTTTATAAAATTTTAGCTTAATTCTGCTTATTGTGTGTCTCAGTATAGTTTATAATATGTAATAGAAGATAATGTCTCTCACTTATTTAGCACTTTCAAGGTTTTCAAAAACACCTTATTTGATCCTCACAACAATGTTGTGAGATAGGTGCCATTATTATCTCTATTTTGCACATAAGGAAAGTAAGGCTGAGACAAGTGAAATGACTTGCTCACGGTCACATAGCATGTGTGTGTTTCAGTGGAAAGGGACAAAAACATAAGAGTAACATAGCGTTCAGCTCTTATAACATTTGCTTTGCGAATTTTATTCTTTTTCTTCTGTCTTTCCTTGTCTAAGTTAGTCAGAGGCAGCTGTAACCTGACTGACCCCACTTGTCAAGGACCAGTATGGTGCCATAGAGAGGCCTTTGCCTACTTAGGTTATTTTTCATTGTACAGTGATAAAAGTTTCACCTCTGAACGTTCACATTTCTTTTCCTTTGCAGGCGATGAAGGAAATGTACCTGCAGATATAGCTACATTACTAAAGACTTCATTAGGGCTTTAAAAGGAGGATTTCTAATTGAGGAGAAAATACCAACTTGGTGCACACAAGGACATTTACATTACTGAAGACCATGGGATTTATGAACATTTGTAACTTTTTATAATATCCATATTGTATTTCTCATGGTATGAAAGATTTTTGCCACCAAATGAATTCTCCAAATGCTCAAACCTGAAATATATAATTGCCACAGAAACGTAGTCCTTAAGATGTTGAATAATCATATTTTACAAAGCAGTTTTCCAAATGGGGATTAGTTGGTGATTGTTTGTAACAGATCTGCTAATGCTTTAGATATGTCAGTATTTTTGTAATTATTTCTACCTCCAAATATATATAATACTGTCTTTCACTGGATAATGTGTGTAGATTTTTACATGTGCCTTATTTGACAATGCTTATGTTTTTGTTTTGCCTGTCTTAACTCATTTGAAGTACTGTTTTTATATTAACTTAGTCAAATAAAACTGTATAGATTATGTAGCTTTAGTTTTATTACTATTTGAAGCAGATGCTCACCATTGTCATCGAGAACTCTGACCAGAATTTCAAGGTGGTGATCTCTTACCAACATCCCCCTCCACCTCCCCTTGTTTGCCTAGGGACTGTTTTGTTTCCTATGAATAGTAATTGGATTTTTTCCTAGGTGGATGGATTGTCACTATGGATTGCTTAATTTTTGTTCTTCTCCTTAGCCTTGCACTAGTTATGCACATCCCTCTGGCTAGCCATGTGCATGCCTCCTTTGATTTGCTTTTCTTGGCAGTTGCCACCCTGATGCTCTTGTTTTGACTTTCTTTTGCTGTCCAGATCATTATTTATTCCTGCCACATCTCCATGCATCAACAGAGCGTTGATGGAATTCTTCTAGGCTGGCAGAACAAATTCACTTTTGCTTCATAGCAAATTGAATGTGAATATAGATTGAGGCAGCATTAGGTACTATACAGGAATTCAGTATAAATCCTGAGTGGAGGCATTGTGATGAATACATCATTAACTCCTTGACACTATCAAGATTTAATTCACCAGTTTCCAGGATAGTAACTCCTGAAGAGTTAGAACTCCAATTCAGTGTGGGTGACACAGCAAAGAATTGGAAGAACTAAAGTTGGCTTTTGGATACCATCTCTCTATGAAGTCTTTATAACATTTTGCCTATTGTCAGTCAAAATTGCTGTTTTTATTGTACATCTATTTCTTTGTGTAACTTGTGAGCTTCATGTGTTTTTGTTTCTATTCTGTAAATATTATTATAAATAAACTCTTATTTATAAATGGAAAGTGTTAAAACCTATAGGATGTTAATATTTTGCAAGGGATTGTACATTTACAAATGAAAACAAAGATACGAAGTAATAACTTGCTATGTATGCTGAAGTGATTTTGAAATCACCTGAAGCCCCTCAAGATTTTTGAGATAGGTTTGTAAAAGGCACACAGTCGTGAGTTACGTTATGGGAATTTTGATCATATTTTGGTTTGGGTGTTTGTTTAGACTGTTTGGTAATGTAAAGCAATGATTCTCAACTTTTTTGAATTATGAGAACTTCTTTTTAACATTTAAAATGTTGGCCCCACGTGATAGCGGTTCCACTCATCTTGCATGTTTTGATGGAGCTAAATAGATCTAGCCAGTCCTATTTGATGTACGTATGGATTTAAGGAGGAGTGGAAGGAGAGACCATCAATTTAAAATATTGTACTGTGACATCGTCACTTCTGAATGGTGTAAAGCTATTTAGGATCACAGCTTTTGATCTGGAAGGGACCTTTGAAGTCATTGAGTTCAGTCCTTTTGTTTTACGGATGAGAGGCACAGAGAGGTGAAATTATTTGCCGTGGGATACATGTCTAGTGTCAGACAAAAGGTTTTGAGCCCAGGTGGCCTTGACTCTTTTATGTCCAGTGCTCTGTCCACTACACCATGCAGAAAGTACTGGAAGCAAAATAATTTTTGATTTTATTTTATACAGTATGTGGTATTGAGGTAAAAAAAATTCCACCAACAGTGACAAAAATGTAATGGGAAAAATGTTACGTTTACAGTTATTTTTCTAGAAGACAATATAGCATAAGCAAGAATGACTTTATATGGTTCAGGCCAACCCCAGACCAATCACTAGTCTACATTCTGGTTTCTGGCCTCTGTTTTATCCAGTCAGCAATCACAGGAATGCTTTGAACTTTTTTTCGTAAGACTACCAGTTTAGGATGCTTGTCCAACAAGTCTTGTTTAAGGACCAAAAGTGTGGTACTGCAAATGTCCCAGTAGAAATCAGCCCAGGTTACCTAATTAAAGAAGAAAAATATTGCTTAACATTTTCATTTGTGTATAAACTATTAATTTAACTGAATTGTATTCTAAGGGCTAAACTTTAAATGTTGAATCATTCATCACCTTACATCTTAGTGAAAACCAAATAATTCCTCCCCAAAGTTCAGGGAGAAAATTACAAGGAAGCCAATAGTTTGAGGAGAAAGAGAGGAGTGAGAACTTCACACTGGGAGTGACTATTACTTATCATTCTATCAATCAAGTGTACTCTGAAACAAATGGAGATATATGTACAGAAATGTAATCCTTACCCTTCATTGGTTACAGGTTCTATGTAATTTCTAGAAGAGCGCTTGGATCATAGAACCTATATATGTAATAGAACCTTGGGATCATAGGATCTAGAGCAAAGACAAACCAGTGAAACTTATTCCCCCTATTGTACAGATGAGGGAACTGAGGTTCAAAGGGAAATAACGTATCCAAGACTCCAAGCCTAAAATAACCCAAACTAGGAAATCTGATGTTCTTTCCACCAACTACCCCCTTTCCCTGCCTCTCACTGATTTCTTGAACTTGCTTGCTGTTATCTCTGCTTCTTAATCAGATAGAAGTTATTTGGCAAGGTTCTCAAAGAACCTTTAGCTGTTTTTCTGTGGGTTTTATAAATTCCTCAATAAAGGCATTCTTGTTCTGAGGGTAGTGAGAGAAGCAGAGTTAGAAGGCGCAAAATGGGAAGGAATCAATGCATAGAGTTAAATGGCCTCACCTTTCAGGGTGTTCATCTGTAAGATAAGAGTTGACCCCATAAGGTCCTTTCCAGTTCTAAAATCCTATGAATTCCTATGATCAAAGGGGGATCGTGAGCTACTAGGGGTCATTAAAGGTCAGGGGTAAGGGAGAAATGTGATGAAAGTAGATAGAATGATGTGAGCAGAGAGAGGTTTGCTCTAGAGGAGAATGGGGTGAAAAGAAGCAGAGCAGACATTAAGGTCATCTGTCCAAGAGTAACTAACGATGTCTGAACCTGGACTTCCCTAGTGGTGGCTGTAGGCCTGGCTGCCTTGGGATTCAGTGGTCCCAGGTCCTGCATCTGCAGCCCTTGCGATGGTAGATCCTTTTCTGTAGCCTGAGAAAGGATCTTTAGGACAATGCTGGTAGTAGATGGAATAAAGGGGGTGTAAACTTGTGTGTTTTGGATTAAGTATATTGGATAAGTAGAAGTTAAGTATATTCTGAAATATACTTACACGTTGAAAGTGTTCTTAAATTGTTATTAACATTCAGGCAGTTGTGGGCAACAATTCTTTAATCCATTACAATAGTTTTATTTATTGAGTTCTCAATGTCGTTGGATATACATTCTCAGTGTGAGGATTTTGCTTCTGTGTATGAAAGTTTCTGGTGTATTATTCTGGCCACTTGGTTGTCTGTCTAGGTTATTTGGTAGGTGTTAAATAATGGTTTCTACTGCTTCCTTACATAATCTGCATTGATCAATAAATCTTATCTCCTCAAGGATAACCTTTCTGTAACAGGTGGGAATGATTTGGTCTTGTACTATCATAAACCCTTCATCTCAGTACACAAATGTGTATGACTATTGTTGGTTAAATTCATGTCAGTTTCACCCATGAAAAGGGCTCTTTCATAGGCTCCACACAAAGCATTTGGTTATATTTAATCCAGTGGCATATACATCTAATCAGCCTTTACTATCAGTCCGTGAAGTGATTGCTGTTCATTATCCCAGAAGTATTTCTGTATGTTTTTAATCTGTTTATCTTGTGTTCTGAAAACATTGATCAATCCAGAGCCTGTATTTCATTAATACTGTATGTATTTTTATTTGAGTACTTCCTAAATCCATTGTCATCTGTCTTACTGTTCAGAAGTGTACATTAAGTAAAGTATTGTCTAAGTTTTAATATTTCTAAATGTGTTCTTCCCATTGAACTTTTTAGGCAGCTAGGTGGTGCAGTGGATAGAGTGCTGGGCCTGGAGTCAGGAAAATCTGGGTTCAAATCTGGCCTCAGACACTTATTAGCTGTGTGACCCTAGGCAAGTCACTTAACCTCTGATTGCCTCAGTTTCCTCAACTGTAAAATGGGGATAACAGCACCTACCTCCCAGGGTTGTTGTGAGTTTCAAATATTTGTGAAGTCATATATGTTCCTGGCACATAGTAGGCGCTATATAAATACTTATTCCCTTCCCTTGGACTTTATTATGCCAGTAAGTCTCTTGACATACAGCTTTGTGAATATGTATATTTCTTATTACCTTTGTCTGTTGGTTCAATTTGACTTCAGGATTCAAGCTCAAAGCCATTAGTCTTTTTCCTTGGGCATACTTTTTGGGGGGTGGGGGTAGGGGAAGGGTTACAGCTGTTATTTAATCAATGAGGAAACTGAAGAAACTCAGACGTTTTTCTAGCAGTGAAGATTGGCACCTCCCCTAGAGAGCTGCCGAGGAGAAGTGACTTGTACAGGTCTCCATAGCTATTACATGTCATAGGCAGCCCTTTATCCACTATGCCATGTTGCGCCTCTGACAACCATTAAGACTATTAGTCTCCTTTCCATATTTTTCAATGAAGATTTAGTCCTGGACCACGTCTCTACCCTGCTATTATTCTAATATTTATTGTTCTGCAGACTTGCATGGGTAGGTAAAATGTCTTTATTGTAACTGAATAAAAGTATTGGGATATAAGCTCATCTTAGGTAGGCTCACTGAAAACATCTTTGGAAAAATTCCAAAGTAATATATTGAACTTAACACATTTCAAAAAAAAAAAGAGTAAGCTGTACGTTAGAGATACCGTTTTCATGTAAAGCCCTCTCTTTGTATTCTTCTGTATATATGGAAGTTGCTTTTTTATGTTAAGTTCAGAATGAAAAAGAAGAAAAAAAAAAGAAACTCCAGTAGAGGATAGGAAAATGGGGATATGGGGATATGCACCTCATCCTTTTCCCTACGTGGTTATGTGTTTCTTCCACTGAGTCTTTTTAAAAGTTTTGCATTCCATGTAACTTGGAGGTTATGGGCATTTTGTATGGTAACACCTATTAAAAATGTTCTTAAATTTTTATGGATCAATGTTATGTTCAAGCAATTGTGGACAAAAGTTCTGTCTGTTTAAGTGGTCTGGGTCTAGTAGTTTATTTTTAGAATTCTCAGATATTTTAAGGCCTATATTTGTAATATGAGGGTTTGTCTTCCATTAGTTTATGAAAATTAATGAGCTGATGTATAATTCTAGCTGCCAGGTCATGCCTTCCTATGTATTCAGTAGGAACTAAATTTTTGCATCCTGAAGTGGTAAGGGTTGCAGTTTCTACTATTTCGTGGCATCATGTAAAGTGACTAACAAGTCCATCTGTAATTTCTAGTGGCAATGAACTGGTCTGGAATTGCTAGCATAAATACCTATGTTTTTATGAACAAATCTGCATGCCTTGGCCATTGGTTTGATGCTTCTTTTACTGACGTGTTTTGGGTTGGGTTTATGAGGATGGTGATCATGGAAGGCCTTCTGATTTCACTCTTAGGTCTTAGCCATTTTACATTGGCATAAGAATTGCTAGCAAAGCACTTGACTAGCTTACCTTCAGGTGTAAGCCTGATCCTACCTTTTTGAACAGCAAGCATTACATATCTACTTCCAAAAGATGATAACACCAGAGACCTGTATATATCTTGTTTGTGTATATACATACATATATATATATATATATATATATATGTGTGTGTGTATATATATATATATATTTTTTGTATTTTGTCTCTTCCCTTGCGTTCTCCCCATTAGACTGTGAGCTCTTTGAGAGCAGGGACTGGGTTTTTTTGGCTTTCTTTGTATTCCCATTGCTTAGCACAGTGCCTGGCAATTACTAGGCATTTAATAAATGCTTGTTGACTTGACTTCTCAAAATATAGGCCATTTATGTGTTTATGCACTTTATACAAAACATTCTCGGCTTAGTTGTTCGTTTGTTTTAAAGATTATAAACACTTGAAAGGAATATATTGACTGAGAAAAACATTATGCCAAAAAATTCCCAGCTCAACTCAACAATTACTGGAAAAGCCTTCTGAGTTTCGTAACATTTATCCTTTCTTTGTTGATTATTGTAAAGACTTTGACTCTGTTCCACATTCATGGCTTATGTGGACTGCAAACATAAATTAGACCCAAATACGAAGATAACTAAGTATTTGATACCTGCTTAGAAAATTGTTGTCTTTTCAAAACATAACAACAAAATACTTTTAAAAGAATAATTTATATAAAATGTGACATTGTCACAGAGACAGTTGAAGTCCAGTATTGTTCTTCTGAACCTTAAACTCCATTATCTCTTAAATAGAACTGAGCCTGGCTTCCAAACTTAAAATAGAATTATCACAAAATATCTTCTCACTTGATGTGGGTGACATCAAAAAACTAAAAAGCTTCATCTTGTGGAATCTCTCCAATAGTAATAATTATATTTACAAAGCACTTTAAGATTTTCAAAGCACTCGATGAAATGTTATTTCATTTGATCCTACCAAAACCTTGTGTGGTATCTCGTTTTACAGATGAAGAAGCAAGCTGACAAGTTAAGTGATTTGCTCAGGGTTAAGTTACGTAGCTAGTAACTGAAGTAGGATTTGAATTCAGGCCTTCCTGACCCCAATTCCAGTCTTCTATGCACTATGCCACCTAATTCCTCTATATCAAACTACCAATTATGTGAAAATGTCATTTGGCCTTGATAAGTGTAAAATTCGCTATATCAAGGAAAGATAGAGACTATGCAAGCTAGAATCCAGAAGTTAATTGGACTATTGGTTGAAGATGATAATTACAAGTATCTTGTTATTCTCCAGGCAAGATACAGAGTGCAAAAATACCAAGAAAGCTGAGGCTATGTATACCAATAGATTTTCTGGCCTCCAGAAATGAAAGCCCTATTGGGTTAGAGCTATTGACATGTATCAGTGTACATTTTAAGTCCTATAAAATGGAACATGGCCAATTCATAATCTTCCAACTTTAAGGAAGTTGGAGGTATCTTAGATCTTTTGTGGGGGGCCAAGTTTGAATATTATAGTTCTGTAACATTAAGTTTTAGTGGAATTGTTGATGTCCCCTCTATTTTCATCATTGTAGTCCTCATGTATGTAGTTTTTCTGTTTCTGTCTTACTTCACTTTGCATCAGTTCATATAAATCTTTCCATGACTCACAGGTGTTCATTGTAGTCATTGCTTCTTTCAGCGTGGTAATGTTCTATTATAATTGTGGATCACCATTTGTTTAACCCTTGTCCAATTAATGGATATCTACTTTGATTCCGGTTCTTTGCTGTCACAAAAAGTGTTGCTCTTACTGTTTTGAGTGTGTATGTGGTCCTTTGGTTTTTATCCCCAACCCTTCTCATCTTTTTTTGGAGGAGTTTAAAGGGGGACAATCCAAGGACAAATGAGTCATCTGCTGTTCTTTTATGTTTAATGTTTTGTAGACATTGTCCAACAGGGTAAAATGACTTCTGTGTCACAGATAAACGAATATTGGACTTTAAGCTCATTTTCTGAAGACTTCCTGAAAGTAGTTTCAGGACAATTTTAGTAAAAATAATAAAATATTAGATAATTAAATGGATAATCAAACTCATTATTATTAATAGCAAACAAATACTAAGGCAATTAATTTTAAAAGCCTTGCTACATAGGAGCATCCTCATGGCCCACTTCTATATTTCTGTTATCTAATATGAGGCCTCAATGGTCAGGATTGGAAGGTAGGAATATTATGACACTACCCATGTGAACGGAACAAGTCAACGTCTTTCGTTCTCAATCTCATTTGTAAAGTGAGGATATTAAGATTGTTAAGATCACAGGGTTGTGGTGAAGATGAAATGAGGAAATATGTAATAATAAAGTGCTTTGTAAATCTTATAGCATTATCTAAATATTATTACTATTGGCCTATGAGGCCAATAAGAGACAAGGAGTTACAGAGAAGTACAGTAGAGGGACCCCTTTTTCCAAAGTCAAAAGACTAAGGTTCAAATCATAACTTGGCTATGTGTCACTTTGGGTAAGTATTTTGCCACAGTTTCCTCATCTTTAAAATAGGCATAATGATGCTTAGCCAATATACCTTTCAGGAATTGCCAAAGCTTAAAAAAAGCATATGAATTGCTATTCTTATACGTCTGAAGGATCTAGGATTTTTTAGCGTAGGGAACTCTGGGTAGGAGCTACCAACTTTTTAGAAGGTAAATCTTGGGGAATTGTCCAAGACACATAGAGGTTAAATGGCTTTCCCAGGATCCCCCACCTAGTAAATTTCAGAGGTGGGTTTTAAACCCAAACTTGGCCTCCTTGCTCTACATCGCAATCTAGCCAAGATCAGGCTTTTTATTATTGTTATTACTACTACTACTACTTCTACTACTTCTTCTACTACTACTACTACTTCTACTACTACTACTACCAACAATAATAAAATTTACCTTAAAAATGTTACTACGTTAGCATTTTAAACCACACTACTTACAGAGTTGCCAACAAACCAGTCTTTCTTCCCTAAATAAAGGTCTAAATCTTGGAGTAAACCAGGAGCATCATTTGTGAGCAGCTCATTAAACATCTGATCCTAGGAGAAGAAAGAAAAAAATGATTATTAGAGTTTAGGCCAGTCTATAACTTAATAAAAATTTTATCTACCTCAACTCCTACAATTGGTCATTTAGATTTTAGAGATTTCGGAGTAGCTAGGTGGTGCAGTGGATAGAGCACTGTCCCTGAAGTCAGCAGGACTTGAGTTCAAATCTGGCCTCAGACACATAACACTTACTAGCTGTGTGACCCTGGGCAAGTCACTTAACCTCAATTGCCTCACCAAAAAAAAAAAAAAAAGATTTTAGAGATTTCTGCGTACCCTTTATCTCCCAAAGTGCAGTTCATTCTACTTTTGATAGCACTATTAAATCTAGGCTAAATCTAGCTAGTTGCAGCTTCTATTTCCACCCTGGCTGCGCTCTCTGGGGCCAATCAGAAACCTTCCACATTACAGCCCTACTTGTAGACATTTGTCATCCTCTAAGCCTTCTTCATCTTTTTCAGAGCAAACATTGCCAACTTCTGCAAACGGTTCTGATGTGGCATGATTTTCAGTCCCTTCACCATCAGATTTAACTTTTGGTCATGTTCCAGCATAGAGCCCCAAACTGAAGGGTGGAGTATAATGAACTGGCACCTTCCTCTTTTGAGACACACTATTTCTGTGGTTACACTCGAAGATCTTAATAAGTCCAGGAAATTTGGGGAGGTTACCATATCAATCTGTTAACTCATATTGAACATGTAGCTCATCAAAACCCAAAGTTTTTTCTATACTAACTTATGCTACATAATCTTTTTACCCCACCCCTAAACGACACCAGCCACAAGAATCACCATATTTCTTCCTTCTGGGCTTGCACTGCTGAGCCTCAAGGTTTCATGGCCACAAAGTCCCTCTCCTGGGCCTCCTTCCCTCCAAGGGAGAATGTAGTGACCTGGAAACACAACTCAGTATACAGCCCACTCCATTTTGGAAGCCCAGGAGGACCAGAAGCAAAGAAAGCAGTGGGGCTACTGCCACTCCCAGAGTTCCCTCCCTCAACCTCTATAATGAACTCAGTATTGGCCCACTTTAGTGACTACAACAAATGTACCAAAGGTACTCTGCCCTTTGTTTCCATTGTACCTCTGGATCCCTCTTCTATCATGGCATCTACTAGATTTAGAGTTGAAGGACCTAACTTCAAGTCTTGACTCTACCAGTTGTTAGGTGGGTGATCTATAAGCTCATTACTTTACCTCCTTGCACTCCAGTCTCCTCATCAGAAAAATGACAAGATGGAACTAGATAAGCCCCAAGTTCTCTTCCAGCTCCAAATCCATGGTCTTATTCTTCCCATCTTTTTGGTGCGCAGTGAAACTTGGCTTTCTCTAGAAAACACCAACACCCCCTAACGATTGCTCCAAGAGCGACAACTGCTTCTTTTGTTCCTTGACGCTGTATCCAAAGGAAGAGTTGCACCTGCTGTCTTACTCCCCATGAGTCTGACAGACCCTCTGACACCACCACCCAGCAATCACCTGGAACTTTCTTCCTTTTACAAATTCTTGTTGCTGTCATCTGCGTACCAGTAGATGCTCAGTACATGACCTGCTCTGTAAATTTATATTAGGCACATCGTCTTTTTTCTCTACCTCAACCCTAGCCTCTTCCAAGCACTCCAGACTCCCAGTTCCTAATCCTCCTCAACACTTATCACCGTTATCTTCAGTGTTTCTGAACCATGAACTGTTATGAACCAAAACTTTTAAATACTGTACATGTACACATACATTCTATCTCCCACCTCCATACTTTTGCACAGGTTGTCCTCTATGCCCAGGAGATACTCTTGGCTTATCTCTGCTGCTTAGGATCCCTAGGTTTCCTGAAAGTTCAGCTCAAGCACCACTACCTCTACATGAGGCCTTTTCTGATTCCTCTCAGTTGCTACATATACATATACATATTCATATATATATATATATATATATATACACACACACATACATATATACATATAGCATATATCGTATACACACATTCATATACACACGTGCATACTGTTGAACTCTAATAAATTACAGAGTCTGTTCTAAAAAAGAGGCAAATGAAACTAGGGTGCGTGTGTTTATGGTTTAATTTTTCTCAAGCTGGCTTGACATGCATTGCATGGGAGTTCAGTTCAAAACTGGTCACCCCTAAGGGGACCAGTTCAGAACTGGCTCGATTTGGGATTTGGGGGTACAGGGTTATGGGATGCCAATCAACCCTGACATTGAGAGGTTGATTATATTAAAATGAGGTCTTGAGTATGTGACTTAGGTCATTTAATCTAGGTCAACAGAGGCTGGTATCACCCACCATCTGGACAGAGGAAATATGACCCCCAGTCTTTGGGCTATCTAGGCAGAAGAAATCTGCTTCCACCCAAGCCTGAGTAGGATAAAATCAATTCAGGCCTGGGTTGCAGTTTGACTAGGATAAGAAGATTCAATGCAATCTCATTATCAGAAATGTCCTTCTGAAGAACTTTGGAGCAGAAGGGGGGCTGGGAGACACAGATTACTAAGAGAAATCATTTTTCACAGTACACATATAACACATATATGCATACCCACACATGTATACACATGATTGTACATATGGAAACTATGTGTTATGTATACATATACATGTTATGTCTCTGTGCATATGCATTATAATATTCAATTGTGTATATATATTATATTCTTCTATGTATTGTGGTATTCCCTTAAATAGAATATGTACGTTCTTTGAAAAAAAGAAAATAATTCATTTTTTTCTCCATATCTTCAGAGTGTGTCATATGGCAGGTGCCTGATAAATGCCTGTTGATTGATTGATTGATTGATTGATTGAATGCATGGATGGATGGGTCAATGTTAGAGCTGGAAGGTATGTAGTCAGCCATGTAATACATATAATCCTGTCAGCTTAGAGAGGTCACTGAGTCCCAGAGAAGGGAAGTAAAGTTACAAAGGAAGTTTAATAATCTGCCAAATGATTATAGGGCCCATTTGTCCTTAAGAAGGTATTTTGGTCTTTGCTTTTTTTAATCCTTTAAAAACTAGGACTGAAATTTTGCAGCCACTTCCTGGCTTGTGAAATCTTATTAGAAAAGGTATCGGTCCACCTGGAATCAAATATCTGAAATCCATATATCTTTGGTAGTTTCAGGAAGCTATAGTAAGAGAGATATTTTCACAATCTATTCAAATATAGTACTTTTCATATCAACCCTTTTAAAAACATGAAGGCAGTGAAGTGTGAGTTCATCAACTAGTATCTTCTTACTCAGTAATGAAATTCAATGGGAAAGTTTGAACCATAAGGTGGCAGCATTATAACCCACCGTAGGAAAAAAAAAGGTAGAGATTAAAAGAAAGATTTTTCTTTTCTTTCTTTTTTTTTTTTTGGCATATGAGGAAGAGTTACACACTATTAATACTTGAAATAGACATGAGCAATATAATCCTCAATAGACTAGGCTGAAATGAGCCTTGGTCCCAGAGACTGAGGGACAAGGATGTAGCTTGAGAAAAATAAATGTAAATTGATGGTCTAAAAAATGAAGCCCTTCCCTTTTCTTCCCCAAATGCTCAGCAATAGTCAGAACTAATGGGTTCTGAGTATTTCTATTAATTCTATTCCTAGAATGTTAGAGCTGGAAAAAGAGTAAAGACCATACAATATACAGGTCATTCTAATTATCAATAGAAAACTATGTGAGGGCAGGGACTGTTTCTGCTCTGTCTTTATGGGTACAGTCTCTGGTACCGAGTAGGTATTTCCTCATTGCTTGTTGATTGATAATTGGTAAATTGGTAGGAAGGCCTATCGGCAATATTTTCCTACATTTCCCGATCTCCATTTTTAATGTAATTCATTAAAGCTTGGTTTGTATTATTTGTTGGCAGCTCATGCTTCTAAGGTTGGTATTACAGTAAGAACATTACAACCTAATATTGGAGTATAGGATCATTTAGCCCTCAGCTGCATTTCATCTCTTTTGTATGCTAATATTGCTTTGCATGTGCATTTCATTTCCTTACTTGTGCTTTTGTGGATAGTTGTGTTTATTTACCTTTTCTGTGTTTCTGTTATCTAGGATGCTGAACAAATAATCTGCCTGCAGATTATATACCAAATAATGGTTCCCACCCACCCCAGTCCCTATAGGAATATTTCAAATGCCTCTCTCATATCAAATATCCATCTTTTTGTAGATGTGTCACCTTGGGTTATATCTTGAGTTCAATTATTCTTTGGAATATATTATTCCATTGCTTTCTGAGGTGTCTCTGACTCTGACTCTGTCTCCGTCTCTGTTTCTCTGTCTCTCTCTCCCTTCTCTCTCTCTCTCATTCTCATCTTCAATTTCTCCCTATATATTGATTTTTATTCCTTCCCTACAAACTTTCCTAGAACGTACTACTTCTTCGAGCTATCATTCTACATCTCCCCATGCTTTCTCAGCTAAACTCCTAGAAAAAAGTGTCTACACAAGGCGGCACCTCCACTTCCTGTCCTCTCACTCATTCAACCCTTTGAAATATGGCTTCTGAATGCATCACCCAACTGCAACTACTCTCTCTCTAAAGTCTGTCCTTATCCTTCTTACAGACTTTGACACCGTCAAGCATCTTCCTTTCTTCTGGTTTTAATGACATTGACCTCTTATGGTTCTCCTCTTACCATCTGATTGCTCTTTTTCAATATCCTTTGCTGAGTCTTCATCCAGGTTATGTTCCCTTGCTAAATGTGTCCCATACAGCTGTTAGGCCCTTTTCTTTTCCCCCTTTATGCCATTTACTAAGGGTAGCTAGGTGGCATTGTTGGTGGAGCACTGGGCTTGGAATCAGGAAGACTCATCTTCCTGAGTTCAAATCCAGCCTCAGACACATACTAGCTGTGTGACCCTGGGTAAGTCATTTAACTCTATCTGCCTCAGCTCTTCATCTATAAAATGAACTGGAGAAGGAAATGACAAACCGCTCCAGTATCTCTCCCAAGAAAACCCCAAAGGGAGTCACGAAGAGTTGAGTACCACCGAAAAATGGCTTAACAACAACAACAACACTGTTTGATTTGGTGATCTCATCAGCTGCCCCATGGCAGTTATCAGATCTGGGCAAATGCTTTTCAGACCTGTTTGTTCAATCTTAATGTCTTTGCTGACTTCCAGTCTTGCATTTCCGACTTCCCATCTTGAACTAGTAAGTCTCATTATTAGAAAGTTGAGATTACACAAAGCTATTGGAATGTTGTTTCATGACTATTGCTAAAAATAAACGAATCACCAGCTTGGACACCTGGTATTTATACACACACGTATATGTACGTACATACATGTGTGTATACATACACATATATACATACATACACGTGTGTGTGTGTGTGTGTAATAGGATTGGACAGCAACATTGCCAGACCCAAAGCACATTGTTGAGTCTGTGTGTGTTCTGTAAAAACAACTTCAGAAACCGTGGCTTCCACAAGTCTGTGTAGGAAGTATTATAGGAACAACTGACCAAACAAAGAGATCGGCGAGGCAGTCTGAAAGGGAAATCGTTTGTTTTAAAATGGTTTTAAAGGATTTTCTGAATTTTTTAACGAAGTCTCACAATTAATGAATTCCCACAATGCCTGTTGGTTAGGGAAAGAGGTCAATTGAAGGGAGGGAAAAAAGAAGGAAAGGTGCTGACCAATGCACCCTAATGTTGCTTCAGATCTAACCCCATGCAGATGGCTATGAGTAGCTTCACTCATAATGATGAAATTCCTCTAAGTCTCTCCATCCACCAATATTCTCCTCTGCACTGCCTAAAATCTTTTAAACAGGAGACAAAAACTGTCATTCTACATTATAAATAAGAGGCTTAAAACACAAATGTCCTCCTAAGAGAATTTATACATCACTTTGAACTTCTGTCAGACAAAGAGCACCAGGTAGCAGAACCTTTCTCATTCTGGTGGGGGGAATCTGTCAGCAAATATAAGGTTATTGCCCCTAAAGGTGCCCAGGGAAGGAGAGACCGGGAGGAGGAGACATCGAAGAGGCTACGTAAGGCCAACACTGGCCTGTTTTTGTCTGGATAAAAAATTATTTGCCTTGCATATTCACCCCCCTGACACATTTTGTGGGAACTGTCCACCTGGGCAGAATGAAAACTTGTTGAAAAGAAAGGGGAAGCCTGGATCCCCACTGATGCAGCAGACTACCCCAAACCCCAAATTGAGAGAAGATGATGCCCTGTCTTGCACAATGGGAAATATACTGGACATAACAGGCCAGGGCCATACCTCCAAACCAGCAGGGCAGGTAAATGACTCTCAATGCTTGTGAAGAATCCAAAGTATGAGGAATAGACACAGTAATTAGGAATTGATGGCCTTTGGATAAATCTCATTGCATCATTTGTTATGCACTGAGGATGGGAACAGCATGGTGTCTGTAGGGTCTGTAGGGTGACAAGTAGGGTTTGTGGGTAGCAGCTGGTGTGGGAGTGGGGTGAGTGGTGGACGAGAGGGGAAGCAGTGTGATGGAATGACAAGAGCACAGAGAACTAGAGATCGTGACCAGCAAGTCACTTCACCTCACTCTGGGGCCCATTTTCTTCATCTATAAAATGATTTTAGATGATTCCCAAGGTCCCTTCCTGCTCCAAGTATTTTGATAACTTAACTTGCTTCTCTTTCACATGTGACTTAGACTATCATATGAACATAATACCTTAAATTTTTCATTTATGTGTCATAAAAATATACATGCATATATACACATATATATATATACATACATACTTAACTATATATATGTATGATGTGTCTTAGGTAGGTGTGTACCCAGACCTGTGATTTCACTATGGTAGAGAATTCCCAATGAATATGCGTCAGAGGTGAGATCTGAACCCAGGTCTTCCTGAATCAGAGGCTAGCTTTCTATCTACTATAACATGCTCCCTATATATACCAATTATTTTTATGTGTAATTGATGACATTACTTTGATATCTTGTTTTTTCTCTGCCCAAGGAAACCTTGACATGAAGTCATCCAATGTATCTATGATGGCGTCAACTTGACATTGTTCCAACTCTGTCTTCCCCGCCAAACCTATAAAATAGAGAAAGTTTGCTGAAGCTCCAGAAAAGCAATTGCTATAATTTATGCTTTTGGGGAAAGGGATGCTTTTGAATATTTACAAAGTTTTTCAATGGTGCCTCTGTCTAGATTCCAGGGGTTTAATGTAATTTGCATGTGTGTGGGAGGGGGAGGGGGCAAGGAGTGAACTTTAAAAGAAAATTTTATGGGGCAGCTAGGTGGCACAATGTATAGCACACCAGCCCTGGAGTCAGGAGGACTTGAGTTCAAATCCGACCTTAGACACGTATTAGCTAGCCGTATGACCCTGGGCAAGTCACTTGCCTCTAAAATTAAAAAAAAAATTCTGTACTCTTCCTTGGAATAAAAAAAAAAAAGCAAACTATCGTTGCTAGTCCTAAACACTTGGTACATTGAAGCTAATTTAACACAAATCAGTAGTTAGACTATCTCTACAGACGCTGCCTATTTCTTTAGAACTGCAATTCTTTACCTGGGCATACATGAATTGATTTCAGGGAGTCAGTGAACTTGGATGGGGAAAAAATGCACATCTTTTTTTTACTAACCTTTGGTTTCTTTTGCAATCCTATCTATTTTACTTTCTGCACTCAAATACATTATTTTGAGAAGGGTTCCACTGGTTTCACCAGCCTTCCAAAGGGGCACATTACGCAAAACAAAACAATTAATTACCCTTGACTTAGAGCATAAATAGCAACTGTTTGGCTGTGGATGAAATACAAACATTACATGTCGGGGCAGCTAGGTGGTGCAGTGGATAGAGTGCTGGCCCCAGAGTCAGGAGGACTGGAGTTCAAATCTGGTCTCAGACTAGACACTTGACACTTACTAGCTGTGTGACCCTGGGCAAGTCACTTAACCCCAATTGCCTTGCAAAAAACCAAAAACAAACAAACATTGTGTGCTCAGTGTTGGTCCCAGCAACTGTTTTCTGGATGTAAGACTTCAGTGTTTTTCTTGTTTTTATTTTCCCTTAAGAACTGCTTTGGCACATTGCTTAGGAATCATTTCCCTTCTCGCTTTTTTTTTTAAACACTAAATCAATACATTACCAAGCTCTTTAGCTTCACTTAACACTTTGTCCCTTTGACTGACACACTTGAGGACCTAGAGGGCCACACTCGAAGACCTTAGAGGGTCACATCTGGCCTCGAGGCCGCAGGTTCCCCACCTCTGCTATGACAACTCTAGAGACAACTATGCTACCTCCAATTTGCATTCCCATCTCCTGCTAACCTCTTATTCAGTCTTAGAAAAAAAAAATTTAAACTTTGTCATCCCAACTACTTATCCTTGAATTCTTCTCCTCCTTCTTTGGTATTCCAATTCTTATGCTTTTCCTTATCCTTAGATCATTCTATTTCCTTCAGTCATTCTCCCTCAGTCACTGAATCATTCTCCCCCTCTTTCTCCAATTCCTCTAGTCTTTCTAAATATCTCCCCTCTAAATTCAATCTCTGGTCTTCTTTACAAATCCCAAACCTTCTGAATCGCATTCACAGAATCCTCTCTTATTCATTTCAAATACTTCCTTTTCCTGTCCCCTTTCTGCTAGAGGCTGGGAATGGAATGATCATTACTGCTTCCCTGTTCTGGTGACTCATTCAGGCTTAAATGATACTGCCAGAAAAGACCTAGAAAGTATTACTGACATAAAATCGTGAACAAGAAACTAAAGACTTTAGGGGAACTGACAGTGTTTTCCTTAATGTTGCCCATTAAACACAAGAAATTTAGAAGATAAAGGCAAATTTTTTTTAACGAAACTAAGAAGCTGGTGAATGAAAATGGGCTTTTGATTTCTACACCAATGCTTCAAATACAGGAATTATAGGCTCCTAGAAAGAGCTAGTAAGAATCTATTTGCTTACCATACTACAAATCTTTTTTTTTAAGAAGAGGCTTTAAACTAAAAGGTAAAGGAAAGGGGAAAAACTGCCTATACATATCCACTAATTTACATAGAAAAGCTCCCAGATATTCAAAAGAGATAGAATCCAAAAAAGGACTAAGCAATAAAAACCACAGGACTTAAATGACTATACACAATGCACAAAATATGGCTACCAGCACATAAAAGACGCTGTCTGCTCATGGAGATTTTCTTTTTTTTGGTGGGGAAAGGCAATTGGGGTTAAGTGACTTGCCCAGGGTCACACAGCTAATAAGTGTCTATAATTTAATCTCACAACCTCCAGACACCAGGGCCGATGCTCTGCCACTGCACCCTGCCCCCTGCCCCATGAAATTTTTATGAACAAGTATCAGATAGAATGGAATTAATATTTGGATCAAGAAACAGTAAGATCTTTAAAAGCATGGACTTTATTTTACCTTTGTAATCTTCACTGTCCCTAGCACGATATTATACTTGTAGGTGCTCAGTAAATATTCTTCCAATAAATAGGTTTTGGTATTCTTATTCAATACAGGACCTAAATGCTAGCACTTTTTATTGCCAAGAATCAGTCAACACAAAATACCTATAATAGCAAAAGTCTTAAATGCATTACCTGCTTCTCTAGCCAAAAACCTTCCTATGGCAAGACTCTGGTGAAGGGGAACTCCGTCAACTTCTAAAATTGGGATTTTGCCAAATGGAACGGCTTTAAATAAGACAAACAAATAAATAAAACAAAAGAAATCAATAGTTAATAGTTAATACACAATAGTCAATAGTTAATACACAAAGTTAAAGTACAACACAATATATTTTTCAGATGAGTCATGGAGATTTTTTTCAATATGAGTCAGTAATGATGAACTCTTTAGCAAAGGGTATGAGGGAAAACTCAGAGGTTTTGAGACCTGATCCCAAAGCATCACTTTCATGATGGCGCCACATGAGCTAGGAAAATGACTAGGTACCATTCTTGTAGCTCTCACTACCTCATTAAGCCAGCCTGGTGTCAACTAAACAAATAAACATTTATTAAGTACCTACTTTTTTTTTTTTGCGCCAAACTATGCTACAGGACTGGGTTTACTAAGACAAAAATGAAATAGTTCCATGCCTATATATGGAGAATGGCATCCAGGAAAGGCAGTCACTGGGATTATGAATGTCACCAAAGGGCAGTAGGTGTTCATGTCCTTTCCAGTAGCAATGGTAATATTGCTTTGACTATCAGTGAGCAACCAAGTGTAGCTGTTCATTTGTTGTGGCTGCAAATGTCCATTTGCTTAGGAACACTATGTCAGGAAAAGGTTTTCAATTTCAGGTATTTCAATATTTTTAAAATTCTTAGAATGCAAGCTGTTTTGTTTTATTGTTTTATTTATTTATATAAAGTAAAGGCTTTTTATTTATTTGCAAGATTGTTCTAATAAATAAATCTTTCAGACGACATACAAGAGTCCCTACTCCCAACTGCTGAGAATAGGTTGGGACAAACTCCATCTCACATCCTGGGGCAGCCGTGGTGCAGTAGACAGAGTATTCTTGGAGTGAGGAAGAACTGAGTTAGAAGCCTACTTTTGCTTTGACCACTTGACCAAATCAGATCTCATCAACTCTAAATTTATGAGCCTAGGATCCTATAGTCCTTACAAGGCTTCTGGACTAGGCCAAATCACCTCCTTCCTCCTCCTAGATGACTAGGACTTCCCAACTGGAACAAACTTCTTTGCTAGACCAGCCCAAGGGCACAAGATGGCAAGCCTTGCTTTTTGGCTGGAAAGGGCCCTTTCCCTGCCTTGGGTCACACAGCTAGTAAGTGTCTGAAGTTGGATTTCAACTTGGGTCTTCCTGATTCCAGGCATCGTGCTCTAACCACTGTCCCATCAGCTAGTTACCCTCAGGGATCTGTGCTTGGTTCTTTACTGTTTACTTTTTTTTTTAATCAATCATTTGGATATAGGTGCAATGGTATGATCATCAAATTTATAAATAATACATAGCTGAGAGGGATAGATAACACACTGAATCACAGAGGCAAGATCCAAAAGGGTCTCGACAGGCTAGAACATTGGGTGGAATCTCATGTGATGAAATTCAGTAGGGATAAATGTAAAATCTTATACTTCCAGCTACAAAAAGAAAATCAGCTTTACAAGTACAAGATAGAGGAAATGTCATTAATCAGCAATCTAGTGGATTATAAGCTCAATATGAGTAGGCAGGGCAGCATGGCAGCAAAGGCTAATGCCATCTTGGGTTTGCTTCCAGTACTGAGGAGATGAAGAGTCCCACGGTACTTTGCACCTGTTGGGTCTCATCTGGAGTACTGTGTTCGTTTCTGGGCTCCAGAGTTTATGAAGCAAGACTATCCAGAAAAAAGGCAACCAGAATGGTTGAGTTCATGCCATATGAGGAGTATGAGGAGGAGAAGGAAGAGAAGGAGGAAGAGGAGGAGGAGGAGGAGAAGAAAAAGGAAGAGGAGGAGGAGAAGAAAGAGGAGGAGGAGAAGAAAGAGGAAGGGGAGAAAGAAGAAAAGGAGGAGGAGGAGAGGGGAGAAAGAAGAAAAGGAGGAGGAGAAAAGGAGGAGGAGAAGGAGAA